ACGACGATGTATGTAGTGGTCTTAGCACCCTGGCTCAAGGTGGTGTTACCGCTGCCATGCCCGGTGGCTCTTGGCTCGGTGCTCTTATCTCTGGTTTCATTTCGGATCGTCTTGGTCGCAAGTATGCTATCATGGTTGGTTGTGTTCTTTGGTAAGTGGTCATGGTTAGGGTGGAGTTGCCATTGAGCTGTTGTGGTTAACATCCTGTTAGGGTTATCGGCTCCGTCATCGTATGCGCTTCCCAGAACATGGGTATGCTCATTGCCGGACGAGTCATCAACGGTCTCAGCGTCGGAATTGAGTCCGCCCAGGTTCCTGTCTATATCTCGGAGCTTTCTCCTCCCTCCAAGCGTGGTCGTCTCGTCGGCTCTCAGCAGTGGGCCATCACCTGGGGTATCCTGATCATGTACTAGTATGTGGTAACACCTGGTTTGAGATTCGAAAAGTGACTCAGTAGCTGACTCTTGTTCCACAGTATCTCCTTCGGTTGCTCATTCATCGGACATGGCAACAGCTCCACCTCCCACAACTACAGCGAGTCCGTCTTCCGTATCCCATGGGGTGTACAGGCAGTTCCCGCTGTTCTCCTCTTCTTCGGAATGATGGTCTTGCCCGAGTCCCCTCGTTGGTTGGCCCGCAAGGACCGCTGGGACGAGTGTCAGGCGGTGCTGACCCTGGTCCACGGCAAGGGCGACATGAACAGCCCCTTCGTTCTAGCCGAGATGCAAGAGATCCGCGACATTTGCGAGTTCGAGCGCGAGAACAAGGACGTTAGCTACCTCGAGTTGTTCGAGCCCAGGATGATCCACCGCACCATGACTGGAATCTGGACGCAAATCTGGTCCCAGCTGACCGGTATGAACGTCATGATGTACTACATCACGTATGTTTTCACCATGGCCGGGTACAAGGGTGATGCCACCCTCCTCGCTTCCTCCATCCAGTACATCATCAACGTGGTCATGACCATGCCCGCCTTGATCTGGGTTGACCGCTGGGGCCGTCGTCCCACTCTCCTGATCGGCGCTGTTTTCATGATGATCTGGATGTTTGCCAACGCGGGTATCATGGCCAAGTACGGCGTGATTGTCCCCGGCGGTATTGACGGCGTGGCGGAGGCATCAATGCTTCTGAGTGGCGCCCCTGCCAAGGGACTAATTGCCTGCACATACCTGTTCGTGGCTTCGTACGCTCCGACCTGGGGTCCCGTATCGTGGGTGTACCCTTCAGAGCTGTACCCTCTACGTGTGCGTGGTAAAGCCGTTGCTTTGGCTACCTCGTTCAACTGGGCGTTCAACACGGCGCTTGGTCTGTTCGTGCCCACTGCTTTTGCCACGATCCGCTGGCAGACGTACATCATTTTCGGTGTTTTCTTGTTCGCCATGACCATTCACGTCTTCTTCTTGTTCCCTGAGACTTCTGGTAAGACTCTAGAGGAAATCGAGCAGATCTTTGAGGATCCCAACGGTATCCCTTATATCGGTACCCCGGCCTGGAAGACTACCCACGATACCAAGCGCACTATGGCTGCCGAGTCGGGTGATATTGAGATCCTTGGTGAAAAACTGGCTGGTGCTGACAAGCGCGCTGCCACTCACGCTGAGGTTGTCGACGCATAGAAGTTGAGCGTGTATAGACGAGGTTGTTAGATGGCTCCGCTGTATTATTGTTTTGCTTCTCTTTTGGGTTAGACATGTTCATGTCGATATGATGTCATGTTATACAATTCAACAACTGCATAAATCCACAATCCGTGCATATATCAACGAATCCCAACATTTTTATCCAGCTTCAATATGCTCGTATTCGGGACTGTGGGATCGTAAACACGTCGGGGTCCCAAATAGGATATGTCGCTGTCCGCGGTCGTCTCGCAAGTTCCGTGGGAGTCTCGCAAGTATTGGCCATTTGATTGGCAGTCCTAGGCGAATTCCAAACCAGCCCGGGATGTATATAGGGGTTTCCGAGAAGCTAGTTGCTGCATCCCAAAAAGGCGCATCAAAGGAAATGAAGATGCCAAGACTTTCCGATCGGAGCTGCGAAGCTGTCTGGTCAACGGGGGTGGAGTTCTTCACCCCCTGGAAAAAAAAAATGGATAGTCACCTTTCACAATCTTCTTCACCCGATCGTCCTGGTTATGAGTCTCGAGTCTCTCTTCTCATTCCCTTCATCCACCTCTTTCCATTGGAGCACGTGAGCTCGAACCCTCCGAGTCCAAAAGGGTAGGAAGCTCGAGTTTCCTATTCGCCATGGTTCGCCCCCGGCGAACATCAGCCTTGGGCGTGGACATTCGGGGTGACACTAGTGCGCCAGCGATGTCCACGATGAACGAAGTGAGTCCTATCGAGCCATCATCGCCATTTCTGAAGGTACGTATTGAAAGTCATTGCCCACCCACCCAAATCCCCTCACTAACCCGTAATCCCACCAGCAATTCGATGTCGCACACAAACAGGCCAGCAAGGCGCAGACCAAACGACGTCGCAGTCGCTCCCTCCTCCACCGCTTCGCGGATACCTGTCTGCGATACACATGGCTCCTGCCGCTTATCGTGATGCTGTTCCTGCTCGGGTTGTACGCGCTTAACCCCACAACCTCGAACCCGATGCACAGCGCGATCTTCTTGTCCTACCCGCAGCCCCCCAAGACTCCCGGTGGACCCATCATGTATGGCAAAGGCAAAAAGGATATTGCGTTCGTGGCGTTCTACACGATCGTGCTGTCGTTCACGCGCGAATTTATTATGCAGCAGATGATCCGCCCCTTTGCGGTGTGGTGTGGTATCCGTGGGAAGGGGAAAACGGCTCGGTTCATGGAGCAAGCGTATACGGCCGTGTACTTTGGTGTATTCGGGCCGTTTGGTCTGTACGTGATGAAGCGCTCGACTATCTGGTACTTCAATACGACGGCGATGTTTGAGGGCTTCCCGCACCGCGAGCACGAGGGTCTGTTCAAGGCGTACTACCTGCTCGAGGCGAGTTATTGGGCTCAGCAGGCGATTGTATTGCTGCTGCAGTTGGAGAAGCCCCGCAAGGACTTCAAGGAGCTTGTTGGTCACCATATTATCACGCTTGCGCTTATTGCGCTGAGCTACCGCTTCCACTTCACGTACATGGGCTTGGCGGTGTATATCACGCACGATATCTCCGACTTCTTTTTGGCCACCTCCAAGACGCTCAATTATCTGGATGCGTATATCACCGCGCCATACTTTGCCATGTTCGTTGGATGGTGGATTTACCTGCGTCATGTGCTGAACCTGAAGATCCTCTGGGCTGTTCTGACCGAGTTCCGCACTGTTGGACCCTTCGAGCTAAACTGGGAGACACAGCAGTACAAGTGCTGGATCAGTCAGTACATCACCTTTTCGCTGCTCGCCAGTTTGCAGGCTGTCAACCTGTTCTGGCTGTTCCTGATCCTGCGCATCTTGTCAAACTACATCTTCACCAATGTCGCAAAAGACGAGCGTAGCGAGGACGAAGAGGAAGAGGAAGCGCTAGAGTCTGTCAATGCGACCAAGGCAATTGCCAGTGGCGCAGACCAGACTGGCAAGGAGAACCACGCTCCTCAGGTTCTGCTCAACGGCGAGCCTGTCACTGAACAGCGTGGTCCTCGGACTCGCAGCAGAAAGGCATAAGTCTAGCACTTTCCCTGAAGTTTGATCGATTATCATTTAATCGATCAGCATTCAAACAATTACCCGACATCAAAGTTGGGGACTTTCACAGTTTTATAGTTATGCATTGGATCAAGTGTGTCTCCAGCTGATCCTCTGGATGTTGATATGCTGTTATGTATTTGTTGGAGCTGGGTCTGAGCCCGGTACATTGGCAGTGCCTGTGAGATAGCCCTCTAGAAGAGCGGGCGCCGGCACTTGTTTTGACGAGCATATGAATTAAATAATTTTTACTACATTTTCTGTCTCTTGATGTTCTATTGTCATTCATGTACATCATTTGTGTTTTTTTAACATACTTTTTGAGTCCATGGATGTCATTTATGAAGCAAATATGAAACAAAGGGACTTACAACCAACCATATTTATTGTAAGCAATTAAGCCTGGTCCTGTTTTCTTTTTGAAAAGAATACTCCCAGCGATATGATATCAGATAGACTTGATTTTTTCCTTCTCCACAACCAACATTCGCAAGCCGGATATCATGAGTAATGAACATCATCCAAGGTAGAGGGGATTATTACCTTTATGGCCTGGATGAATCCGGCATGAGACAATACCAAGCACAGTGATGAAACAACCAGCGCGATGTCGAAAAGCGGATATCAACCCTTTCTCGGTGTTTCGAGGGAGTCGAACTTCATGTTGAAGCTCCAAGGTAGTGCGAGAGAAACACGACTGAACTGGGTTCTTGTTTCCAACGAGATAGAGCTTCCACGTTTCTCGCTTATATCGTCTTCTTCGGACCTCAGGTGCTATTGCTTTGGTCTTATACTAGGATCTTATACGAAGTCTTACCAAGATCTTCGGATGATAGAATTTCTAGCAATGAATCGAGAGTATAACCAAACTTATTCACTTATAGACAGCTCGTCACAAACTGCATATTTACCAGTTCCCTGGTTCTTCAGTGAAGAATATAATGCATATAGATTCCATATTCACTGCATCAAAATACATTGGCAATAAGCTACTATTGTCGTTAACAAGCTCATTCTTTCCTATTCTCCTTTGTACCTTCTACAAACTATATCAACTGCCTACTTCGATGCCTGCATATACGAAGGTAATATTGCCTTGTTAATCACATCGCATCGTCTAGGCATCAATGCCAATAGCGTCTTGTCAATATACGAATAGTAGCTACAATTTGTGTTTATATCAGAAGATTTCTCCGAGTATTCTTCCCTTCCTCGTTGACTCTCATCTTCCCTTCTTTGCTGAGTACCACAGTCACGACCAATTGCCTATCACATTTGACATACCATTCAATCTATCATTTCCACCTTGTTTATCCTGTGACCACTACTCCAAGTAGTCACTATGCCACTCCGCTTACCATTTGGTGTGCTAAATTATATCACACACTTTACCGAGCTAGCCATCAAGAAAATCGAAGACTTGGCAGAAACAATCGAAGAACATAACATGGACGGTCATATCTTACCAGAGCACCTCATTGAAGACATAAATTGTTTGACTTCCCATCTACAAACCTTTCGACCTGATGATAACATCCCAATTTTCCTTGGTCCCGGCATGAAGGTACAACAAATAATCTCCAACAACCTCGAAGTGGCTTGGTATCTCTCGGCGTGCCTTTACTTCCACAATCGAATCAACCACATCTTCGTGGACGACACTTCCATCCCTGTGGATGCCATCTTGATGTGCCTGCTCCATGCCGAAGAGCTCAAGGCACTGGTGGCACTCGAGGTGATGCACAGAGATCCACCCGTCACCTTCCCTGCTTTTGTGGGAGCCTGCAACAGCAAGGACTGCCAGTTGTGGGCATCCTTGTGGCGTTCGTTGCAGCAATATGACCTTCCAAATGTCACGGCACAGTGGACTGCCGTCCAGGACATTTGGAATCTCATTGATGAGACTCGGGAGGAAGGAAAGGAGGATTTGAGCTGGGTGGATGTTATGCGAAGGCCCGATGGACTCTCATTGAGGCATTTCTTTGAACGCCGTGGGTTTTATTGAATACCCGGCCCTTGCTAAGGTGTCCTGAAGCTAGGTGGTACACTCAGGGCTACCACGGCCCAACTAAAAGTCTTTCATGGAGATTTTTTGACAAAATACTTTTATTTCTCTTACCTAGTAACGCCTTAGTAACGTCTAAGTAACTTCTAAGTAGCGCGGCTAACGCCTAAGTAACGCCTAGGTAACGTCTTAGCCACATCTAAGTAACGTCTAAGTAACTTCTAGGTAACGTCTAAGTGAACTTACAAAATACTAGTAAATTTAGAAAAGCTTAAGAATCAAGATGTGATATCACGATCCTAAGTATACTGTGAGCGATTGTCAAACACTGCTAGGGAAGGGCTTTAGGTGTCACGTGGTGGTTTGCTTCCCTATTTTTTCTTTGGTTCATCTTTTAGATCAATATGATGATATTTCTTCTTCTTCCTTTGTGTTTTAAGACGTGCGCTTATTATTGACATTTCAAAAGAGCAACAAGAGTACGGCAGACGACATATTCTGGTTTACGACAGATTATCCTAGAAGGCACCTAGAAAGATATCTCTAAATGTATTAAAAAGGCATCGTAATATAATTGCAATTATAATGTTCATGATATCATCTTGAAACAATCTATATTGGGATTATCCAACCCTATATCATCAAGTATAGAGGTCGTATAAGCGGCCAACTATTGACTACTAAGATTAGACCGGACTAGCAGAATAGACCAATGAACTATCGTTCTTCAGCACGCTAACATGACTGGTATCTATATCTCATATATAGTAGAGGTACAGGTACACGAATAGTATGGGACAAAGAATCGAACATTAACATGTTGAAATATCATACACAGGCTTGGCTCTACAGCCGCTCAAGGGAGTAAGGCGTCTTCAGTTCTTTGCCTCGCCATCATTGTTCTCGCCCTTTCCAGCATCCTCGGACTCATCCTGCTTAGGCTCGTCCTCCTTGGATTCGTCTTTCTTTTCGTCCTTATTTTCCTTCTTAGAGTCATCATCATTGGGCTTCTCCTCCTTTTTCTCCTCCTCGGGCTTTTTCTCCTCCTTGTCTTCCTCCTTGGACTCGCTCTTCTCATCCTTGGGTTCTTCCTTCTTTTCTTCGGGCTCTTCATTTTTATCCGCCTTCTCTTCGCCTTTCTCCTCGGCGTCCGTCTTTTCCTCCTTCTTGGGCGCCGGCTCAGAGGATCCTTCGGTAGGTTTTTCCTCGGAAGCTTCCTCTACCTCGCCGTGATCCTCCGTGTGTTCCTCTTTATGTTCGTCCCCGTGAGTGTCGTGATGTCCCTTCGAGCCAGAAGGCCAGAGGAAATAGATCATTGGAACAGTCACAGCAGTAGAGGCCACCAACCTACAATCAGAAGTAGTTAGAAGACCGAATAAGATTTCTTGGAAGAACATAACTTACCAAGGCAAGTTACTGGATGAAGGCCCTGGCTCATAGCTGTTGCTAGTATACTTGAATCGTCGACCAAGGAGCTGGGCAGACCGGCGACTAACAGAGCCGACACGGAAGGACTGAGCTGCAGTCGCAGCGCGGAAGATTGAACGGCGCGCAAAGACCATTGTGTAGTAGCAACCTGGGTACAAACAGAGTAGAATTGATGGAGAACGTGGAAAGGGTGATAGGTTGAAAATGGATTGTTTAGGTACAAAGTAGATTGGAGCACAAAGAGCACAAAGCACAACGCCAAGTCAGCACTAGAACACCAAAGCTTCCCGGTTTTCGCAAGTCGACCTCTCGGTGTCGTAAGACCGCATCCTAGTTGTTTCCGAGATGGTCTGTGCGTCGTGATGTAATTGGCATGGTTGGGCCAGGTACTTGGTACTTGACGAATACGTTGGTTTTGGTGGTTTTAGACGGTAGCTGGTACTTTCAGAGGACCTTGCAGGTACAACTTTTATTACCTCGGTATAGTTCACGGGGTATCAATAGAACGACCATTCTTGGAGCTTGGACGGTGTTCGTCATCACGTGCATCTCGACTGAGTATCAGATCCGATAATTGGAGAAATCCAAGTATTCAATGTCACCTTCCTTAATAAAATGACTATGTAGGGGCCATATTCGAAGATCTAACCGATATTTTATGTTCAAAGTTGACATTTTCGGAGGTTGTCACTGAGTTGCAATCATGCCTCAGGCCATAATAATGACACCTTAGGCGGAAACACCCCCACGTTGCGGCGTCTATCAAAGGCTACCGCAAGCTCTCCCCGGTGCTTTCACTATCCACTGCTTCACTCGTCACCTTGGCTAGGCTTTCTCTCAACCTCATTTACCGATAACAGTCATAGCTTCGTCAATATGGCGGACCGCCAGGTTACCCAGCAGACAATTTTCGCCCTGCTAGCGAAGCTTGATGACCCCGATGCGGACTTGAGATACATGTCCTTGAACGATCTATATGGAATCCTGACCAACCCAAATTCTTTATTCCTCTCCCACGACCGTGGTACTGCAACAAAACTCGCAGGAGGTCTGCTCAAGGCCTTGGATGATCAACACGGCGACGTGCAGAACCAGGCCCTCAAATGGTATTCGAGCTCTATTGCCCTCCGATCCTGCTGATATCTAACTCGAACCCAGTCTCGGTCCTCTCGCAGTTCGCTTACCACTCGAATCCCTTACACCTCTTCTCGAGCAGTTGGCCAATTTGACTGCCTCCCAGACGATAGACACATCGGTCCCCAACACTGCTCTTCGCGTCATCGTCGATACGCTCCCTCGTCCCCAGTCGGGCCAGCCTCCATCTCAAAATTCGATTATTGCATACACAGCAGTTTCGGAGGTCTTGGTTCCCCGTTTGACTGGACCGACTCTCTCAATCACAGGACGGCGGAGCTCAGTGGTGAGAGGCATGATGGAGAAGGATCCATCACGGGGCTTCAGTAGTGATGCCATCGATGTGCTCATCAAGGTCGTGACCTGCTTTGGGCCTCTGCTCCAAGATTCGGAGCTTGCTTCCCTCCAGGCATCCGTCATGGCCATCATCCAAAACGACACGGCTGGAACTGTTGTCACTAAACGCGCCCTGACAGCCATCTCGGCGCTTGTGCTCTACTTCTCCGACAACCAGCTCAACGAATTTGTGTCCGATCTGACGAAAACATTGTCTTCCGAGATTTCTGTGGTGCAGCGTCGGCACTTGATCGCTGCAATTGGCGCCATTGCAAAAACCGCACCTGGGAAGTTTGGCCCACACCTGGATACCCTTGTTCCTTTTGTCTTCTCGGCAGTCGGAGAAGATAACATTACCCGGGCAAATTGATTTGTCATAACTATTGCCCTATGATAGATGTCTGACCGACACTGAAGCCTAGACCCTTACGCATGATGCTAAGGGCTGCTACAGGAGCCCGATGTGCTGCGTCTGATCTTAATTGGCTATATGTAGTCACATCATGACCATATTGATCGCACCCACTAGGCTTTGGTTGCTAAATCCGGAAAATGTACTGGGCTCCCAGATCAACCTTCCAATGCCCCAGACGGCTATGGATTTCACGATACCCACGTTCATATTGAATACAAGCGCCGTCAATCTCTACTTCTACACCTCTTTGTCAAGGTTAGGAGCTCTTGCCACGATACTTGCTCCTGCGTTTTGTGATTTAAGTAGAAAAATGCCTCGAAGCTTCGCTCTTTCCTTCTTTGTCCTCCTTCCTCTTGTAGAAATTAGCTCCATTGCTTTTCCCCCATCCTGCTGGCCTCTTCTCTCTTCTCCTCTCACTCCGAATCACCTGTTGCTATCATCCCAACCCATTGCATCTCACATACCCAGTTGAACATAGATTAACCCTATATACCATTCTCAAGATGCGTATTCAACCCATCTGGGTCGCCACTTTGGCAACGTGTGTATTTGCTAAATTGCATGTCGGTCCTGTGCATACGGTTGCAATTGAACAACCTCAACCAGAAACCGAGTCTCATTTGGACACTCGTGATGCCCCCAACAATTTGGACTATCGCTGTGGCCCCAAGATCGGCAAATGTCCGGTCGGTACATGCTGCTCGGGTGCAGGTATGTTCTCAAAATCCTGTTAGCTTGAGCACCTTACTGATGTCATTCTACGATAGGTTTCTGCGGCACGTCGAAGGCGCACTGTCGCTCTCCAGACTGCAAGCTTGACTACGGTAAATGTGACGCTCACCGATCGCCTTCTGGACCCCCAACCAAGGAAATCCCCCGTCCTCACGTCGGCCAAGTTCCGTACGGCCCTCGCGAGATTCGTTCATGCGCTATCCCCGGAACTGTTGCATTGACCTTCGACGATGGCCCGACACGTTACACTGGCGATCTGCTCGATTTGCTTGACAAATACGATGCGAAGGCGACATTCTTCATCACTGGGATCAACAACGGAAAGGGCTCTATCGATGACCTCACCTTGCCATGGGCTTCATTGATTGAACGCATGCACTCGAGTGGCCACCAGATTGCCAGTCATACATGGTCGCATGAGGACCTCAGTAAGATCACTCCTTCGCAACGCAATGAGCAAATTGAGAAGAACGAAGCTGCGCTGCGCAACATTCTCGGATCTTTCCCCACTTACATGCGGCCGCCTTATTCCAGCTGCAGCCCTGACACAGAGTGCGGAAATGAGCTGGGCGAGCTTGGATACCACATCATTTTGTATGACATTGACACGGATGACTATAAAAATGACAGTCCAGATCTGATTCAACGGTCTAAGGATATCTTTGATCACCAGCTTTTGAACAGCGACCCACGCACCAAATCATGGCTTGTCATTGCCCATGACGCCCATGAACAGACCGTCCACAACCTCACAGAGCACATGCTCAAGGGCATCAAGCGGCAAGGCTATCGTGCCATTACCGTCGGCGACTGTCTCCGTGATCCCAGGCCACTCTGGTACCGCAAGGATAGCCGGATGCCCACTCAGAAGAAGAAGCCCAAGAATACTGCTTCGGCAGATCCCAACAAGCCGATCTCTTGGGACGGGTCCTGTGGTTCCAACTACACTTGCCTTGGATCTACCTATGGCTTTTGCTGTGGTAGTACTAGCTCTTGTGGCAACACCACCAGTCATTGTGGAAGCGGCTGTCAAAAGGATGCCGGATATTGTTCCGTTGAGGCTCCTTACAATGGCGATGCCTGGGACCCGAAAGTCCAAACCAAGGGTCACAAGTCGGAAGCTGATTCTGATTTCCGAACCATTGGCACCGCGGCTGCAACATCGTTGTTCCTTGCTTTGATCGTTGCGATGTGGATGTGATGAATCATTTTGATCTTTGGATTGGATTGCCATGATTGTTTGGCCGGGTTTTACATTGTCGAGATTATAGTTATACTTACATGCTGTGGCTTCATTGTGGCCAAACCATTCGTTTGAACTTATCGGCAGACACGGCAGGGTTAGCTAGCTCATGGAATAGGAATCATCAAGAGGTATCAGAATTGCAATACAAAGTTCGTCTTTTGCTCGAGTAATGATAGGCTTTCATATGAGCTGAACTCTGCTCCTCCAAATAGATGTAATTTTTTCGATATTGAGACTAGAGAAGATCTCAAGACAAATCGTCGCAGCTCACACCTGGTCAGGATATTATCCTACCTTTCACCTATTCCATGTAAATGAAGAAATATATGTAGACATGCAACTATGGAAGATATGCAGATACCAATATGCAGATACCAATACCAACAGAAAACAAAAAGAAGTAACAAAGAAAGCAGGCCGAGAACATTCTCTCGAGGGGTATAATGATAGCAGAATAATAGCAGCAACAGACCAAACCAATGAAAAAAAAAAGCCAAGACCTAACCACAGCTTGAAGATGACCATCACAAGGAAGCAGATCACTCTCCCTATTTCCGCACCATCTTAAGCAACGGCGCAATCCTCGCCCTCTTACTCAATCCCACGCGGTAAGGCACCCCATTCCGCGCCGAGATGGGACTGTGCTTATCCGGGCCCTTTCCTCCGTTCTGGGGTGTATTGACAGATGAAGTATCGCGCTTCGAAGGAGTCTGAGGCTGAGGGGTATCAATCGTAGTTTCAGGGAGAGGTTCAGGATCGGGAAGTAGACTGGGGTTCTGGTCCTTGCTTTGAGTAGCAGATGTATCGTTGTTATCAGTATTAGCTATCGGCATGGGTTTGGGACTATTATCGACAACGACGGACACATTCGGCGCAGGAGTCTGGGCTCCAGAGGGCGGCTTGTTTGGCTCGGGTGTATCTGCGGACTCTGATGGTGTTTCCGCTTGTTCGGTTGTCTGCTTTCGCTTGCGTCCGCGTTTTTTGGGTGCTGGTTTCTCGGCTTTCTGCACGTTTTGTGTCTTCTCTTCTGCTGTGGGAATCGGTGCCTGGGGGTATGAGTCCAAAACATTGGAGTCTAAATCCTGTCTCGGGGCCTTTGGGGTTTCTGCCTGCGGGGTGGCATTTCCTGTTGAAGGTTCCATACTGAGAGGCTTCGTGTCTACCCATATGACGTCGTCATCGGCATCAGGGGCAGGTGTCGCCTTGCCTTTTTTAGCTTTCTTCTTTCTCGGCTCCTTTGGTCCTGATTTTGCAGGCTTAGGGGCTGTTTCTAAGTTTTCTTCGTCAGTCTCATCGGAGACTCCACTCGAGGCCGGGGTATTATCTTCCGTGGTCTCTTCGCTATCGGAGGGGTCAATCGCACCATTTGCGCCAGGGTGTTTGAACTCGTGGTCTCGAGAGTTGGCTAGCTCATCGTCTTCATCATTATTTAGCCCAGTTTGTTTCTTAGGTCGTCCCCGCTTCTTCGTTACACCGGTCAGCCCGACATCTGGCATATTTGGTAAGACGGCAGGGAGAGCGAGCTCGTCATGCGTGCTTGATTGGGATTGCTGCGGGGAAATAAGACTGGTTCCAGCAGTGGTAATATTTGCATCCATGCGATTCAGCGATGCAATTGAGGAGAGAGGCTCAGTGTCATGGGGGGAAAAGGGACCAGTCTGCTGAGACTTCGCCTGTGAGGCTTTCTGGGGTGGGTTCGACTGAGGGTTCTCTTCTTCCATAAAAGGCTCGGTAGCGTGGTAAGGAACGACTTTCGGAGGCGAGGCCATTGTATTAGTGGTGTCAGGCGGGGTCAAGTCATAGGTACCCTGTCTGGTGGGCAACAAAGTCTGATTTGCATCGACATAGGCGGCATCGACATAGGCGCCAATGGGTGCTGGATTATATGTGAAGCTGCCATTCTCCGGTTGATATATCTGATACGGGTGGTAACCTGGTACGGTAGGAAATGGCGCGGACTGAAATGATTCTATCGAGTACGGTGCGGCCGTAAAAGGGAGGCTTGCACTTGAAGGGTCGTCGTCCATAAGTCTTCTCTGCGCGATTCCGATCTCCGTCATCATGGCGCCTAGATCATCTTCGGTATCAGTATATAGATCACTTCTTATTATTTGTACTTCAGACTATGCTGTCACATCGTACCAACCGACCCACTTCCACCCTCAGTTGAGGGTATCCATTTGTCCTCCCGCCGTTGCTGCGACGAAGATAACATTGACTGACCCTTCTCTTGGGATTGGAGGAACTCATCAAAGTCGACGCTCAACTCCGGGATTATGCTTTCATCAGGAGCAGGACCATGTTCATACACTGCATTGTGGATCGTATTTTTGGCGGGGGCATGTTGATATTCCTGCTGCAATGCGGGCTCGGATGGGTGGACGGGGTTGGCGGAGGTGGAAAGGTCATCCCCCTCCGAGAGTTCGTCCTCGTCGGAATCCTGAATGACACGATCTAAACTCATCGGGATCTAGTTGTCAGAGCTGGTGGCTTTGATCGTTGAAAATAAAGTTGTCCAACGCGTCCCTGACACGACAGCACGTGATGATAAGGATGCATGATAAAACACTTCATGCCTCGGTCCCGACTCCCGACTTCAGTGGATTCGTCTCTATGAATTTATACTCCGTAGTCAATCGAATAATAGTGCTTATCTTCAGCACTCATGCATTCTCGTCCTGTTTGAGCTCCTTTACAATGTCCGGCGGAGTACTCCGTACGTACCTACATGTCTAGCCCTAAGTAAATTCGCTCAATCGGCTATCTCCGAGCATCAGTATCTCGGGCTTATCTTCCTTGCATGGTGTTGATCTTCAATGCTTTTCTTGAAACAATTGCAATCTCGGTCTTTTTCAAGGCAATACCTTGTGTCGATCACACACATGGTGCCTAGTTACTCCGTATTGTGGCCCTCCGTTAACATGACGATCGTCATCAGTTTATCCATATCCAATCAGCAAATCTTCAATTCAGACATTCGGACCGAAGAACCCGGATTGGATTTTAATTGGCCTTCTATATATATTCTACAAAAATGGCTGTTATATAAAGAATGATCGGCTGGGCAACATACTGGATTCTCGCGGAATTCCAAGCATCGATCCGGTGCAGAACATCATGTTCTTTTTCTCCCTTCTGGCCCTATTGGGCCCTTCACTGTGCCAGGCCGCCTGCCCCTACGCGCATCTAGCAGATGCAAGCCTCAAGCCTCGCTCTGATGCCGTGCTCCCTCGTACTGTGCCGGGAAAGAAAGGCATCATGTTGATGAACCGTATCAATCCCTCCTCATCCAAACTGTACATTGCCAATGCAGATGGCACAAATGAACGCTCCTTGCTGGGCAATGCCTCCAACTACGAATACCATGCCTCCTTCCATCCAGACGGTAAGCACGTCGTCTTCACCACTGAACGTAACGGCGATGGCAACTCCGATATCTATATGGTCAACGTGAACGGCAGCGGTCTGACACCAATCGCAACCACACCCTCGGTCGAAGATGCGGCAGTTATATCTCCCAATGGCAAGTACGCTGCCTACGCCTCCACGGCCGGCGTCTACACCTCCAACATTTGGCTCAAGAACCTCGGGACCGGCGTTACCCGCAACCTCACCAACCAGACTGGTGTGACGGGCAAGCCTGAGTCGCCAAGCGGATTCTTTGCGCCTGCCTGGTCGCCTGATGGAGAATGGATCGTTTTTTCCTCTGATCGAAACACCGCGTGGACCGGTCATGACAATGGCACTGGCTGGGAGCATACTCAAGAGCTGGCTATCTATGCCATCACCCCCAAGGGAACTGGCTTCCGCGAGGTGTACAGCAAGGCGAATTACACTTACGGGTCGCCGAGATTCTCCCCCGATGGCAAGCGAGTTGTATTCTACGAGATGACGGTGCAAACAACTTGGGATGCGCGTTCGTCGTTCACCGTCAACTCCACAACCAACCAAATCGTTTCTGTGGACTTCGAAACAGGAACCGATTTTGTCCAACATACCAATACCTCCGGTGTCAAGATTTTCCCGCAGTATGTCTCGAACACTGACATCGGATACTTGCTCAAAGGCGGAGACGACGGCGGTATTCACTACACTTCCAGTGCAAAGAAGATTCTCGGAGGTATGCGCTCACCTGCCTGGTCTGCTGACGGCAAACATGTGGTCTACGAGAAGACTGGCTGGGAGATCCGGCCATTGCAAAAGGAGCTGTGGTCCTGGGACCCGGAGTGGGATTACCACTTCATGGACGTCTTCCCCGATCTCTCTCTTGATGGGCAATTGACCTTCACCTCCAAGCAAACGGGTAGCCCCGGCAATTCTTCTATAGCCGTAATGCCCCCGGGCGACACCAAATTCACCTTGGCGTTTGATACCTACGAAACCGGCGCGCTTGACGAAGCCACCGTTTCCAGCGGTGAAGGTGGGTCCTTCCAGCCATCCTGGTCGTCTGATAGTGAATGGATCACCTTCGGTCTAGGATGGTGGTTCCAAAGCCGCGCCGATGAGCCCGGCTGGATCTTCCGGGCCAAGTCCGATGGATCGAGCTATGAGCAACTCACCTTCGGCAACTCCTCCAATAAGGGATTCCCCAGCTTCTCGCCCGACGGAAAGAAGATCGTGTACCGCGAATACCTGCCTGAGTTCGGCCTGCGTTTGCTAGACCTAAACTCTAACGAGACCACCACTCTGACGACAGAGCGTGATAATCTGCCATTCTTCTCGCCGTCCGGCGAGTGGGTTCTGTTTACGCGCAATATGACCGACCTGTCGAAGAACGAGTTCTCAAATTATGAAGTGTGCATTATTCGTCCTAATGGGACAGATTTGACTGTGCTCACTACATCGTTTGCTAACGATGCCCACGCTGTCTGGACTGCTGATGGCCGCATTATGTGGTCCACTGGAATGTGGGGATTCCAGGCTGAAGCTGCGACTTACGATGATACCTTCCAGCCTTACGGCCAGATTATGGTTATGGATGCTGATGGCTCGAACAAAACGGTCCTCACTGATAGCATGTGGGAGGATTCGATGCCGCGTTATGTACCTAATAAGTTTTTGACGCAGTGAGATGCGGGCTGTTAGAATAGTGAAGTTGAGAAGCACTATCATGATGGAGCTTATGGCAATAGTGTAAGAATCGCAGGACGCTTACATGCCCTTCGTAGTTAACGATAGAGCGCGCAGATAGAATACTGAGTTATTTTATGATGATACTAAAAGACATCTCATATGTGTATCGGAAAGACAAATTCCCAGTAAACGCTATTCTGATCTAATACATACATCCCCTATCCAGTCATTCTACACAATATGTGGATGACATGTTAAAACATTACTTCAACATGTAAGCGTCTAATTACTATGGAAATCAGAGGGGTTATATATGGGAAACCAGACCGATGAATGTACCAAGCCATCAAGTATGTTACATGTAATTGTAGAAACTTATTGTTAAGTTTGTTCTACAATTCCATACTTAGTTGACGGCTGATTATATATTCCAAAAGGATATTCGAAAACATCCAAGAGAACCAAACGCATACCAAAAAAACCATTTAATAAACACACAGTAGTGACAATCTGAGAAGTTCACATAAGTTTCTTACACCTTAAATGGGTTTCCGTTTTCTCATCTCCTTCTATTCATTCGTAAGCGAAACCCGGGAAACGCCTTTTCCATACTTGCACTGGCCAAAAACACACACTCAAACAGTCTCACCTTCTTTCGGGAAATACCGGTGGCGTTTAAGAGATCATAGACAAGATGACAGAGAATACCAGCCAAAGGGCTACATAGTTGTATCAACACCCTCTCACCCGTCAACAGCTATTTGTAGATGTAAAAAAAAAAATCAAAAAGAAGAGGTCGTGCCCGGGATCGAACCGGGATTGCTGGTATCAGAAACCAGAGTGATGACCATTACACTACACAACCGAATTTGTTGAGGAAATATTCCTTATTAAACACTATGAAGCTTCAATAAAAATGGCTTTGCATTTGCCCTCAATACCGACAATAGATCCCGACCCTAAAATTATCTAGGATATACGGCTAGGAATACTTTAGAGGCTTCCTGGAATCCTCTAAATTTGGATTAAACCCCAAGCTTTGTCTTTTGTCCAAGGATTTTCTTTGTGAAGCTTTTGAGCCCTGCCCTTCCAACAATTCAGGTTGTGTAGTGTAATGGTCATCACTCTGGTTTCTGATACCAGCAATCCCGGTTCGATCCCGGGCACGACCTCTTCTTTTTGATTTTTTTTTTGAGAATTGCTGAGGCTATTTTCTAATCCTTTAATATAGTTATGATTAGTTATGTATGGCCTACACAACTTCTTAATAACAAAGTATCTAGACTTTTTACGTTGCCTACTTTTGTGCCTATATCCGAACGGAACACAACCCTGGACCTCGGGTGGAACATCCGCGGATGAGATAAACTCAAGCGCGTGACCCTACACGCGCAAATTTGGTTAGTTTGGAAATCTTATTTTTTGCCTACATGCCACCTTCAGTATAACCTCATGATGACTGGAGGTTTCACTGTTGACACTGTCGAGCATAGAAGCAGTTATGTCCGGTCGCCACTGCCGACCAGAGTCCGGAGTGCCTGCGAAAGATGTCGGCGCCATAAATCTCGGGTAGAGCCACCCTGATCCCACTTGATCAGGACGTATACTGAATCCAACCTGGACTAGTGTGACCCTGTTCGACCTTGCTCGGTGTGTATCAGGGCCAACGTCGATTGCCGACCACTTCCAACGACCCGACCACGGAGGGCCACTCTGCCGAAGTAAGTACACCGAGATCCTCTAAACTCTCCTTTACTTACATCAGATGTCAGGCGCCTGGGTTCCAAAAGAAACCCACTAACTGAGCGACATCGATCTCATCTATCTCCATTGACTCTTACCGAAAAGTCACCGGATGAGAATGATCGTGGTCGCGGTGAAAGAATCCCCGAGCAAAGTAGATTAATAGATGCACACCCTAGGGGCGATGATGCTGACTTCCCCGCTGGAGGGGAGAATATGCCTCCGTCTCTCAACTGCGGCGAAGCTGAATCCGCCATAGGAATTGCTCGAAGAATCTGTCAACTTGGCAGCCATAACATTGATGAACAAACCACATCCGCCATACCTGGATACCAGGCCAGCACCGGTGGTTCTATGGCAAATTCGGCGACGGGCCAACGCATTCCAATATCTTCCATCTTGAGCCGGCCGTTTCCTCCTATGGAGCTCGTGTACAGTCTGTTGGAAGATTATTTTGATGCCGTACACTGGTTCTCTCTCGCCATTTACGAGCCAAAATTCAGAAAGAGCCTAGATTCCATCGCGGATGGTTCTGCATATCCTTCTCAAAGACCCTTTCTCGTGTTATTGGCCGTGATGCTTGGAATGGCATCGTGGTACCGATCTCAGAGGAATTGCACTGACCCGGCCGACAACAGCGATGACATGAAGAAATTGAGTGCGGACTTATTGGGGTTGGTTGAGTCAAATCTGGTGGAATTAATGGATCAACCTTCGGTCACCTCGGCCCAGACCTGCATTCTCCTAGGATCGCATCACGTCTATCATGGCCGTCCAAATCTCTCCTTTTCTTTATTAGGAGCGACTATAAAGATGGCACAGTCTTTAGGAATGCATCGGGGCCTTCTACGAGGGGATTTCGAGAATATCGAGGAAAGAAAAAGAGTGTGGTGGACGATTTACACATGGGACAGGTTCGCATCAATTACATATGGCCGGCCATTGGGCATCAACGACAAGGATTGCAATCTTGATATGCCAGCGGATGTGTTCGAGAACCCGAATTTTGTTTCTCCAGCCCTCGGTCAGGCCAGCCCTATATGCTATTCAACCTACCAGCGGGAGCTAAACCAGCTCTACTTGATTGCGTCGCCTGCCCTCAAGACCGTCTTCGGGTCACGTACTCTGAGGACGTCCAAACAGCTAAATGGTGACACGTATTTTGCACTTGTCAGGCACGTCACCGAGAACCTCCAAAAATGGCGATCTTGCCTACCGAGCCATTTGGCTCTGGACCTTAATCGTGACTTCGACCCCGATGATACACCAAGCTTGAGGGCGTACGCCCTGCAGTCTCTGTCGCTACAACTGACTTGCGACAATGTTCTCATTGTACTGCATCGACCTTTGTTAGCACGGCAGGTTGATCATCTCTACACCGTGAATGAGCAAACACCGGAGGGAAGCAGAACAGATAATATCATGTATCATCCGGCCACCGATCCCTCTGTGGCCCAGTCAAATTTATCTCCCGACTCCGGATTTCCCAATAACCAGACCACAACTCCGGATCTATGGATGAATGCCGCAACAAGAACATCAAGGGTGACAGAATTGCCGGCTTTAGCGCAGCTCGCCACTGACAGCCACCTCTGCGCATTTCTTGCCATCAACTTATTCAATGCCGCGATTGTTTTGGCTGTGATGGCTCTCTCGGAGCCTCTTTCCGATACCGCGCAGGAAGTGAAGCGAACGATTACTCGCATTCTTCGTCTGCAAGATCTGCTGGGAAGACGGTCTGCACTATCGAAACAAAGCACGGCTGTGCTGAAGAATGTTGTTATCATGCTCCTACGTCGTGAATCGGCTGCCATGCTTGCTCCCGTCACCGCAACAAGCCAAGTAATGGGTCACCAGCCTTTACAGACATTGGCAGATCCGTCGTTAATTTCTGTTGAAGACACACTTCGAATGCCGCTAGATGCGACATGGGATTCTCGCAATCCCCTTGCTAGAGACCAACGTCTGCCGGACCTCAGCAGGGCTGATCGCCTGAACAATAGCTTAACATCTGTCCAATATGGTGAGCTTTATCATTCATCCGAGGTAGCTAAAATGATGAACTTGCTAACAAATATATTTTCCAGCTTTGGGTCCAGGAGATCGCTCCACCGGAATTCCTACTGGTGGAGATAGCCTTCAACCCCGCGAATTTGTTGAGCCAGGCATACAGGCACATGAAGTATGGCAGCTGCCAGCAGAATACGATTGGAACATGCCTGGTCTGTCTCGGGAACCCGTTGAAAACACTACTCAGGATAGCGTTGAAGGTGGGTTGTATTGGTTATGGGATATGACGTGGAATGGAGTCGGAGGGTAATCGGCGGTCTATCTAAAAATAACAGTCACAAAGGCATGCACTATGCCGTTGCTTTCGCCTCTTCCTGGTCGACATTCGGGCCATAGATCACACTCTTAATTCCACCCCGACCGGCGACATTTTTGAAAGCGTCCTCAGCCTGGCCGAATGCGTATTCATTAGTGACGAGACCATCCAGATTGACTCGGCGCGAGTTGAGCAATCCAACGGCCAACTTAAAGTCGCCAGGCCCGTACCGGAAGCTTCCCTTGAAAACAATCTCTTTGTCACAGATCAGACCAACCGGAACTGATGGGTTGGGTTTTCCCAAGCCGACTTGAACGAACGTTCCGCCCTGTGTGAGGGCAATAATACCACAGTTCAGACAAGGCTCAGCGCCAGTCGCATCCAGAGCAACATCAACACCATCATGCAAGCCGGCAGTTGCCAGCAAATCCGCGGCATTCTTGTCCGCCGCCTCCATGCTCATTTGGTATGTGTGCGTAGCGCCATATTTCATCGCGGAAGCGAGGCGAGCCGGGACAACGTCCACGACTATAACCGTTGACGCGCCGAAGGCACGCGCAACAGCACAGCAGAGCAACCCGACAGGGCCAGCTCCGAATATAACCACTGATTTATCCTGCATAAAGCCTGCCAATTGACAGCTGTGCACGGCTACGCTAAGAGGCTCGATCAGGGTGCCGTCGCGCATGGAGATGTGAGATGGGAGTTTGAAGCAGCATTCTGCAGGCACGCGGTAGTAGGTAGCGAGGGTTCCGTCGTATGGAGGTGTCGCGGCGAAGCGCATTCCCCGGCAGAGGTTGTAGCGGCCGTTGCGACAGTGATTGCAGGTGTTGCAGGCTATGCCGGGCTCGAGAGCGACTCGATCTCCAACGGAGAAGCCTTGAGCACCGCTTCCGGTCTCTACCACGATTCCTGTTGACTCGTGGCCTAGGATTATGGGGCCTTCAACGACGTATGGCCCGATTCGGCCATGTTGCCAGTAGTGGACCTGTGCGACGAGGATTCTTGTTAGTTTCGTTGCATCGAGAAATGGAATGGAAAAGTCGAAGCCGGTTCGCTTACATCTGAACCACAGAGACCTGTTGCCATGACTCGGACTATGACATCTCGGTCTGACTGGATTGTGGGTACGCTGCGTTCCTCGAAAGCAAATGTGCCTCCGGGATGCAGTACAAAGGCTTCATTGGTAGCCTAGATGAATTTTCGAGTAAGTAGGTGCATTAAACCGATGTGTTTGGGTCGCGACTAGGTTGGAACTACCTGGGCAGCTTCTGTGACGGTCATTTTTGCGGATTTCTTTGGTTTGATTGAGCAGGGCTTTCTGGGATTCTACTAAGCTTTAAATATTATGGATGCCCTGCAGATTTTACCCACTACGTTACATGTGCGAACGGATCCTATGTATTGAAAGTTTTCCGGCGGATAGTCGATCAGCTCCAGGCGAGGTCTCCATCGGTGTTCAAGCCCCGAGCCGGACTAGTATACGGGATACCGAGGAAGCATAAATTGGTTCAAATGGTGGCCATCCACGGCTCAATTTCATCCAAATTCGTTGAGGCCTTAGTTGACTATATATTCTCGCCCTCTCACACCTATCCTAGTCATTATCTCCCGCATCTTCCCGATGCCAATCCCGCAACTTCAGGAACCGTGTCGTCTTCCGCCGGCACAATCTTCGAGATATGCCAAGCCTCCCCGGAACCGCGTGATATTCGCCACCGGAACCGAGACGAGGGCTCCGCCAGAGTCCCGAAACCGTTTAGTTCCCCACAGATTCACGGCGAGATCGGTCATATGATGGACTATTGAACAAAGACTACTCGAATTTGACTACATCTAGGTCTAAATGATCAATAATAGGGCCAATTTTTCACGGCCGATCACGAGGGATGCCCAGCCAGCCGCGTATTCCCGTATTGTCTCATCCCGGCCATGAAAAACACATGGCTTCGGTAGCCCGGCGAAATGGTGACCCCATAGTGTACCTAGTGTACCAGGATCCATTTCCCCATCATTCTGGAGAAAATTCCTCTTCCACGCGGATATGGTCTGGGGTATAAATAAAGCCCTTGCCCCCTTATCTCTTGATGAAATCTACGAGTGGTTTTGATACGCTGTCCTCGTTGGTCGATTCATCTTCAGCATGGCCATCACAAAATCCTCCGAGCCGGCACCTGTTGCGACTCTCAGAGAGCGTTCCCTCGCTGTCGCCGCGGAAGTTGAGCAGCAGCAGAGCTGGCTAGAGAGGAAACTCAAACCCAAGAAGATCACGGCCCGGTACCCGTTGACAGGCAAATCCTTATTGTATGCAACATGTGCCTTTGGAAGCTTGGGAGATGCCCTTTTCGGTTATAACTCTGGTATGGCGTCCTCGAATATGTTGTCAAGATATAGCTGCTGATTTGATAGGTATCATGTCCGGGCTGCTGGTCAACCAAGTTTTTATAACTCGCTTCTTCAAAGACTATGGAGGTGCTGATGGGACGACCACTGCGGTCGATCCTGCGATCACCGGCATATCTGTTGCGTGTTTGCAAGCAGCAGCGGCGGTAGGATCACTCATAGCCGGTCGTCTTGGAGACATGATTGGCCGAAAGAAGTGTGTCCGTGTCGGCGCTTTCATCTACTTCTTCAGCTCGTTCATTCAAATATTTGCCCCTGATTTTGCCACGTTCGTTGGAGGCCGCACGGTCCAAGGATTGGGCGTGGGTTTCCTCTCTATGACTGTGCCTATCATCCAAACAGAAATTGCTCCTTCTCATCGCCGAGGTTTGATGGTGGGTATAGAGTACAGTTGTTTGATCGCTGGATATATGATTTCTTGCTGGGTGGACTTTGGGTTTAACTTCTTGCTGCCACACCATATCTCATGGCAGGGGCCTTTCATCATCCAGATTGTGTTCTCTTTCGTCTTGTTTGTCATGTCATTCTTCCTACCAGAGACCCCTCGATGGTTGGCTTTGAATGGGTTCATTGACGAGAGCCTGCAAACAATTGCAGATTTACATTCTGATGGTAATAAGGAGGCGGAGGTTGTTCAGAAGACGTTCCTCGAGATTCAAGAAGCGGTTATCTATGAGCACAATCTTGGAAAGTCCGGTTGGAAGGTAACGATCCCTTTACTACTTGTGTGGCTTGTCAATCTCGTGCATTACTAACACCGGATCGCACTTTATAGGAAATGTTCACCCGGTATCGCAAACGAACCATTGTTGGAATCACAGTGCAGATGTTCGCGCAGATCAACGGAATCAACATCATCTCCTTCTACCTTCCGAGCACCCTCGCCTCCGCTGGCTTTGATAATCGCAAATCCCTGCTGTACACTGCTGCAAATGCTCTTCCCTACACCGCTGCAACAGTTGTTACCTGGTGGTTGGCTGATCGATGGGGCCGAAAGCCTCTGCTCATTCTTGGAGGTCAGTTCCCACATATATATCGCCATGAAGGCGAGCATCGGATTAGTGAAAGCTAAAAATCAAAACAGGTCTCGGCATGGCCGTACTACTAGCCATTGTCTGCGTCTTCACCGAAATTAATGTGGATGTTCAAGTCAAAGCGAACGGCCAATATGCCTTCGTCATGCTTTACAATATCCTCTACGGATTCACCTGGGGTCCGATGCCGTGGCTTCTGCCCGCGGAGATCTTCCCACTCCGGGGCCGGAGTAAAGGCATGGCCCTGGCCACGACTAGCAATTGGGTCTTTAACTTCATCATTGGAATGGTCTCTCCGGACGCTTTCGCCGGCATTCATGGTTATTTCTACCTAGTGATTGCAGGATTCTGTCTCAGTTCGGCCATTCTAGTTCACTTTTACTATGTCGAGACAGCACACTGTTCTCTCGAGGAGATTGCTGTTGCATTCGGTGACAAGGCATTTGCGGATTCTGATGCGGAGGTTATGGAAATGGCTGATGCAAAGAGTGAGCAGGTGGAATACTCGGCATGAAGGAGGTCTGATGCTGGATTATACGGCTTTTCCTCTTCGTGGCTTTTGTACTAATGCGTTTCTGTATATATGATGCTAAGACGATGTAATTGCCCTTGGACTTGTCTTGAACTAGATCACTAAAACTCAGCTTGAACTGTTCCACACAAGTAGATTAATCCGATGAGATATAAATAAGTGGGCTATGAAAAATCCAAAAAGAAAAAGAAAAGGTCGTGCCCGGGATCGAACCGGGATTGCTGGTATCAGAAACCAGAGTGATGACCATTACACTACACAACCGAATTTGTTGGATCTCGATTTGAAAGTTGATTCTATATACGATATCTACAGTTGGGCGACTATTTTCTCACTATGTTGTTGCAGGGAATGAACTATATAAGAACCGCGAAAGGAAGATCATGGATTGCCAGAAGGTTTATGTTCAGAACCTACAATAATCAACTTCACACTACTCGATCTAATTTTCTAAGCTATATTACAAAGAATTTTGAGGTATTTCCCTAGTTATGCATAGGAAAGTCGTCCACATTCTGGAATTCGGATTGATACTTATTAACTTCAATCGCAATGGCTCCGTAATCATAAATATTGTGTAGCTGCAAGTAGTAAAATAGTATCACTTAATGTGATACTATCAATGGACGTCGCTATTGGGCAATTATTTGTTCATATTCATATCCACATTTAAAGAGGCCGAATGCCCTTAAGATTATCCGCAACAAGAAAGACGCTCCAAAGGCAACTATGTAGCTGATTTGAGAATAGAAAAAGGAATAGTAAAAAGCTACCGAGATCCAGACTACCCATTGAGTATGAGTTCCCTAAGACAGCTCTAACAATTCTACCTGCAGAGGTTGAGGTAGAACTAATAATTCTCGTTCCGAATCTTTTAGGGCTATTTTTGCGTACTTCCCAGTAAGGAAGTGGACCCCCTGGCTTATGAGGTCTTTCACTGAGATCCACACAACAACCCAGGTTGTGTAGTGTAATGGTTATCACTCTGGTTTCTGATACCAGCAATCCCAGTTCGATCCCGGGCACGACCTCTTCTTTGAATTTTTTTGTTAGGGAATTCTTTTCTGCTTGTTAGTTAACCATCTCTTAGTTCCAAGGTTATGAATATATACGTCCGGAATAACCATTTAACCGAGGCCCAATCAGCTCTAGCGTAGAAAAAAAAACACAGACACATAAATACGACCGGCTCGCCCGCGTCTTTGCTCTTTTTCTTTTTTCTTTTCTATCAACTTCACGGGGCTCCACTTTGTGGCTTGCTGAGGCTTATCCTTGGGCTTCGGCCTTCATGGGTTTTCTTCCGTTCCCGGCCCTGGAGAGTATAGAAAGGCGTTCCTCTTTATACAACACTTTTATAGCTACGCTAGGGTATCTTTCGGGATGCCCTATGGGCGCTGGCTGTGGGGAGGACGTCACATACCTTTTTTTTCTCGCTCACTTTATGTGATTTAGTATAGATATTGAATATAATGTTGCTTTAGGCTGATTATAATCACAATCTCTTGGGTATATTCGTAAGATGTTTTGAATAATCTGGCAGCAGATGGGTAGAGCACTCTTGGCCTTGGAAGATTAGGGCAACATGGAGTTACAGGAGATACGGGCTAATGAATTCGGGGAATTGCACCTGAAGTGTTAGCAAAGCACATTAGGCCTGACAAGGCCTACTCCGTAGCTTGCGAACAACTCATACATGCAGTCTGCCGTGGATTGTTTAGAGCTTAAAAAGTAATTCCCTTTGTACAAATTTGTAATATATGGGCTGTCTCATTTGAAAACACTGACATAAGATTGAAACCCGTAACTAGATGATGTGAATAAACAATGGGAATCTCATGTACAAGCTCGGTATGTAATATGCTATGATAAAAAAAAAACACTGGACTAAAGTCCTATGCCGGTCAAGGATATCCTGAAAGAAATAAAAAGAAAAGGCTGATAATGCTGCATGGGACATCAACGAGTCTGGAATCGAAGCGTCAAGAAAAGCAGAAACGCCAGTGTCATCCATAAATTCATGCCCGGCCCACCAAACACCGATAAAACCAACATCACGACATAGTCCAGTGGCATAAAAATCAAATGCAACGGAAGAAAGAATGCAGTCGAAAATCACCGGGTATCTCAAGCCACAGACATGCGTGCATCGACAGACGAAGGTTGGCCTTGAGAAGAATCAGAGCACACCGCCTGGAAGATTGATTTGTCCTTGTCGGCCACCATCGAAGCCAGCGCTATTAGGCGCTAATGCAGGCCCTGGAGTGCCTGCAGGGTTGTCCATGTGGATTTTTCGCAACATGAACATGGGCTTCCGTCCTTCCTTTTCTAGCTGCTTGAACAAGAGAAGGGGCTTTTCCTGCAATTCCAGACAACGCTCTTGATCTCCATAAACAATGTAAAGCGCATAGTTCTTCCAGTCAGAGTTGATGTTGTATTTCTTAAGAGCAGCCGGTAGGACCTTGTAGCATGGGTCTTCCCAAGAGACCCGAAATGATTTGAAGATTTCCACGCTATTTGGGTTTTCGCTGCCGCCTCCACCTCCGCCGCCGCCACCACCCCGTGAGTCAGACCTGTCGAGTCGTGGGTCAAGACGTGATGCAGTAGATGGTGTCTCGGCGCGGGATGCTGGAAGCTGACTCGGAGTGGATCGGTCTCTAGAATGTATTGTCGGCGTCTGTTCGGCATAATCATAGGATGTGTTGCGATTCGCGCTGGAGAGTGGTTGGGTGTATGATCGTGGATTGAGGGTTTGAGGGTGAGCGTGGTGGTGGTGAGGCGACGTAGGTGAAGGAATTCCGGGCGATAGTTGCGACCCGGCTGTGAGATGGGATGAGGCAGTGCCTGACGGATTAAGGGTGTCGTGATGAGTGCGTCCATCATAGCCCGTAGGTGGAGGGTGAGTTGGCGAATTGTTTTTGGATGAATTACCGTTAGGATGGATGCGCTTGGAGAAAGCCCGCGCAATTTTAGATGATGAAGATTCCTGGGTGATAGTGGGTTGGGGAGTTGACGTGAGAGTGGCCGAGCTGTCGTGCCAGTTTTCTGATTGTCCATGCGAAGTGGGTGGAGGTAATGGATGTGACCGATCTTTTACCATCTTGATCACTGGTAGAATTTCTTCGCGCAATCGTCGGTAATCGTCTGTGATCCGGCGCAACTCTGTTTCAACCAGCATGAGTTTTTCGTCTCGAACTTGGATCGATTTGATTAAACGCGCGAGATCCTCTTGTGTAGCAGTTTCATTCATACTCTGGTCCGCCGCTGCAAGCACGGGTTAGAAGTGGGGTTAAATCAGGACGTCTGGGAACATACTAAGTGGGATATAATGGTCTGCATCGAGAGGAACATCTTGCTTGACTTTGATTTCATACACGCTTTTCAAAATCGTCAGTCGATGTCCTACACTGTTGATGCCCATTTCCTTCAGCTCATCATGCTTCAGGGCAACCAGGGCTTCACCGACAATCCCATTCTCTGCGTCAGAGATTATGGTTAGTAAATAGCGCTGCCTAACCATACTTGAAGGAATCTGCTCACCTCGAAATATTCCGTGATACTGCAGCAATCCAAGTGATGTTAAAAATTCATTGCATTCATCAACTCCCCATTCCGTGATGAGTGTTCGCGGTGAACGAGGACCATCGATCGGATGTCCAAATTTGGTCGGGGTGTGTTCTGTTGAATGAATATCGGAGTCCGTGGGAGAAGATTCCGAGTCGATGGGAAGGTGAGGTGAAGTTATGACACTGCGTTCGTACTCATCGTCCGCATCGGAGTCGGCGTGGTAGGAGGTATGGAGAGACATGACGGGAGATCTTCGATGGCAAGAGAATATTCACCGAAAGTAGAGATGAATGATATGGGAGGTTCACGGGCGCCACCGCCAGATCCAAGGTACTAGGGCCAGCAAAGACAAACAAAATGAGTGTTGGCGGTAATGCGCCGAATGCTCTATCTTTTGACGCGCGGGCAGAACGAGGGGACGTCAAGACTTGACGGTTTCAAGTCAAACATGGGCGGATTCGCAAGATCTTCCGACAGGGAGGAGTTTTATTGGGTATCTCCTGTTCTGGCCGAAATATGTTCTCGATAACTCCTTTCCGAGGAGGGGTGTTGCCGTCGAGTGCAAACACGCGGCAATCAACAAGATGAAAGCGGGGAAGGTTGGCGGTTCAGGACCACGGCGGGATAGGGGCGTTGGAAGAAAGTAAGGCCACCGGTTAAAGCGAGTGATACGTCTCTATTCTCCGAAGCAAAAAGTTCACTGACGTCTGGGAGCAAACTTAGCGCAAAGGTCGAGATTAGGCGAAGAGGATGCTGGTCTGATGAGAACGGGGTCCACGTGACTGGGCCTGGACTCTTTTGAACCTCGAAGAGTATAACTACATCTCTTCCTTTTTCCAAACTCGGAATATGTTTTCTGTTGATTTGGGGAATATACTATCTACAAACTCAATATCTCTGGGATGATCGAATTGAATTTGTTATCCACCCCCGCCTTCATCAAACCTTGGAATGATGCCAAGCACTTACGAACCATTATGGCTTGGCAGCTCCCTCTGTCCTTTACTCCAACCAGGCACTCTTTGATCTCCGATGATGCTAGCTGAACCGACTGCGCTTGAGATACCCGTCCTCGGTATGGTCCATATGCCAACATCCTTGAAGCCCTCCTTGAAGCCCTCCTTGAAAACAGGTTTAGGCGTGACTATTAGTGAGTGGCCTGTAACCGGATATACCAGTTTATGTAGGTTTATACTCCAAGTGATGGTGGATGTTTATCGTTGATTGTTCTATTGGTTGCAAGTTCAAGACATATTGCAACATCTTCTTGAGGTGCTGTCCTCATCAGAGCTCTCAGCCCGTATTTACTGCTGGTGTATTGCCAGTCTGCCTTGTACGGGGCAAGTATTAGCCTTCTATGATCCATACAGTTTGACCAAGATGAAGACAATGGCGGGGCAAGAACCATACAGTGGTAATAATAGAACGGGTCAGAAAAGAGTTACTCCTATGATCTCACCATCTAAAGGCCACAGCTCGTCAGCAGAGGCATGGCTGATGTCGGCGTTGGTTATGACAATACCACAACTTTTGTTAAGAGTATTAGCAATCGCCGCATTTGAATGAGAACTGCAGTATATCAATTTCCGAAAAACTAAGTATGTACTAGTCAATTTTACGTCCCTCTCCGAGCCTCGGGCTAATAATCCGTGGCCTTTGCCGAGCGTCTCCCGTCTCAACCGCAGGGCTTGATTCGGCTATCCGAAAAAGTAAACCGATGAGAAATAATCCATGCCAGGATCATACTTTTTCACGGTAACATTCGATTTGCGGGGATTAAAGACAATCGAGTAGACTTTGTGGGGCCTGGAGTACCTACTGCGTCATCAAGAGCTATAGTTAGAAGAGCCAAAGCTTCAAGGGAAAATGCAGTGCTTTGAAAAAGGGGGATATTCAAAACCCCAGTGTGAATTGGTAGTCTATTCAAATGTAAGAGCGCCCGTAGACTTCGTATGTAAACCAATGGAATTTGATGCAGCCAGACCGAAACAATCTGTACTCCTTAGAAAGAAACCCGCCATGCATGATCGCATTTTCAAATGCTGCTTCCCAGCGCCCGGTGTCTGTCATTATTTCTTGTCGCCGTTGGGCGCACTCTCTCCCTCCAAGTCGGCCACTTCTCGTATGATATCCTTCAATCCACGGACACCCTCGTCGACCACCGTTTCCGGAATGCGGATATCGATTTCTTCAATGTACTTCAGAGGGTCGTATGAGTGATTTTTGGCTTTGTTGCCTTTCCTGACACCGTTGGTCTCTTTTGTTCCGTTTGTAGTTTCACCGTTCGCGACCTGGGCCCCTAGTGCGGGGTGGGTTCGGCCCTCTGCTGAAGCGAGCACTGCCGCCATCACATCGTCGAAGGTCTCACAGCGGCCGGCGCGGAGGAGTTCTGTGGCGAGGGTGGTGACCTTGTCGGTCCAACCCAGGCGATGGAGCGAGCCGAGGAGATTTTCCTGCAGATCTTCGAGTGCGCAGCTGGCGGACAGCTTGACGAGGAGGTCGGATTCGAGGGCGTCGGGGGTGGAGGAGGCTCCGTTGGTGGAGGCGGAAGGAGGCATTGTGATGAGTGGGTTTCGGGTTTCGCGGGACAACGCTTGAGCACGAGAGAATGACACGATACGAGCTTTTAGGACAGAAAGCTCTAGTTCCGAATTGCGCACAAGAAATGAGGCAATGCTTTGCGCAAAAGCGATGGTTGTCGGAGAGGGGCCCGCCCTTTATTTCAATGCGGGATTGAAAGCGGATTAGAATTACATTGCATGTAGTGCACAATAGACATGCATAATGAGCAGACAATTGAAGTTGAATAGAAAATAAAAAATAGGAGAGTAAATCAATAGGAAGACTCGCATTGGCGGCTACCAGATCGGACAATCGGCAGTGTGGGTCCGAGCGGTGAATCGCCTTGGTTTTATTCTTCGAGTCCTTTATTCTTCTATTGATGTCTGCTTTATTTAATCTGATGATTTCCTTGGATTAATACTATACTCGTCTAGCGCTAAACATACACTTGATTCGGCTGCGCTAGCAGGGTAACTACGACTATGTTGTTGATATCCCTAACAGATACAAAATGATGTATGCATCCTCCGCCTTCAACTTAGTGTCCTATTTGGACTTGATCTCAAATGGACCAGGTAAAGGACTTGTCAATGCCCAGGCAATCCCGTCACTCATAACCTCGTCCCACCTCTCGCTATCGGGTAGCTGCTTGTACCTCCTAAATCCATGGGGGACGCCGGGGAAGACATGCACATTGGTAGGAATACTAATGAAATATTTAGCTTTTGAACACCTAAATCTTCAAGACGCAAACTCACCCGTTTTCAGCGAGATGCTGTCCGTAGAACAGACCCTCATCTCTCAATGGGTCATTTCCCGCGATTCCAAATGTAGTAGGAGGCAAGTCCTTGACCTCTTCCGCGGTAGCATTACCAGGACTCATCCGACGATCTGCAGCAGCATCCTTGGCCTCGCTAATCCCAAGAAGATCGGTGAACAATCTCATTCGAGTCACCGGCAAGACAGGCGCTTCGGCACATTGCACATAGCTCGACAAATCAGGACTCTTGAGCAACTCCAGTCTCGGCGCATAGTGGTCCCCATGCACAAGACAAGGAATCATGAGGACCTGACCTGCAATTTTTGGGCAGGCTGCTAAGCGTTTATCATCGCCGCGCAGCTGAGCCAGCGCCAACGACGCCGTCAACCATGCACCAGCTGAGATACCGCCCACGACAACCTGCTCGCCGATCCCGCCAATCTCGGCAATGTTCTCGTGTAGCCAGACAAATGCGTCTTCGACATCGTCCCAAGCAGTGGGATATTGATATTCGGGAGTGTGTCGGTAATTGATGTTCAAGACCATGACTGGGGTACCCTTCTGGACACGTGAGGTGACAATCCGCGAGCAAATGGCATCTTCAGAAGAAAGTGTCCCGAAAAGAAAACCTCCACCGTGAAGATGGACGTAAACAGGCAGGCGCTCGGAAATTGGGACGCCGGCGGGACGGTAGGTGCGTGCTTCGAGCGTCGCGCCGTCGCGGGCTGTGATTGTGTAGTCGTGCAGCTGGACTGCGGCACCGATGTTGATCATATCTTGGGCTGCGGATGTCTCGCGGCCCTTATTTAGCAATGCCTTCAGTTGTTCCGCCGAAAGGTCCGTGGGAAGCTTAGGCAGCGTCGGCTCGAGGTCGATCCATTCGGCACTCGGCCTACCATATTCAGTGAAGTCGGCCATTCTTGTAGTGGTCAAAGGTAATAATATCCAAAGAAGAAGGGAGGGAAATAAGAGATAAGCAAGAAGCTGATCATCTATGGGGGTTTAGTAAACCCCGCCAAGTCAAAAGACAGAGCCACTCAGAGAGGGGCATCATGGAGGGGTAGTCAATTCATGTACAAATGTAGTCCCATACATTTCACTGAGAGACAATAGCGCCATCACCTTACCCCCCACATCACCTCGGCTCGGCTACCGGTAACAGCGTATATCGGCATTTGGTAACCCCGCATGAGGATGGAATATGTAGACATATCGCGAAAGAGAAAAGACGCAGCAAGTATAAGGGTATAAGGTAGACTGTATCCGCATCTGTTTACTTAGTTATAGTTAACTGGTAATCTCAATTGAAACCAAATCAAATCGAAAACCATGGAGTCTGGCATTCCATCGGAACCCCCATCGCGTTCTTTAGTTGGCAAAGTCGCCATAGTAACAGGCGCAGGCTGCCTAGGTGATGGAATTGGAAACGGACGCGCGATTTCAATCCTTCTTGCCGACGATGGCTGCGACGTAATCTGCGTCGACCTCAACCTAGAGTGGGCGAACAAGACCGTGGAGATCGTGAACTCGAAACCCGGTCGTGGACGAGCGCTTGCGATTCGGGGAGATGTCACATCCGAAGAAGACTGCCAAGAAGCGGTGCGCTTTGCAGTTGAACAGTTTGGACGACTGGATATTTTAATCAACAATGTCGGCATTGGAGGCGCGGCGGGCACTGCGGTGGAAGTTGATATGATGCAGTGGGCTAAGAGTATGGAGATCAATGTTGCCAGCATGGTACAAATGGTCAAGTATGCCATTCCTGAGATGAGTCGAAATGATGGCGAGATCAAAGGGAGCATTGTGAACATGGGAAGTGTTGCTGGGTTGAAGGGTGGCACACCTCATCTGCTATACCCGACTGCCAAGGGTGCTGTAGTCAACATGACCCGTGCTATGGCGGCTCATCACTCTCTCGATGGGATCCGTGTAAATTGTGTCTGTCCAGGAGTATGTTTAACATGTTTGTTGTATGGAACTGAAGCTGATGATACTAGATGCTGTACACGCCTATGATGTATGGGAAGGGCATGAGCGAAGAGGCGCGTGAGGCCCGTCGGAAACGAAGCTTATTGGGAACCGAAGGAAATGGATGGGACTGTGCTGGAGCTGTTGTATTCCTTGCTGGACCTCATGCTCGGTGGATGACTGGTGTTATTCTGCCTGTTGACGCAGGGACAACAGCTGCTGTGGGAATTGGAATGACGAAGAGTGCAAGTGTCAATGCCTAAAATTAAGACTTTAGATCACTTGATTCTTTTCTTTCGTGTCTCTCCATTCATCACCGCAAGAATGCTTATATAGCCTAGTGATGTAGGACTTGATATTTTGGATGTCCAGTTGGCCAGAGATCATATTAGCGATTTTGCATTTGGAACCTCAGGATGACTTTATTCCATGTATAACTTGTGATAACCATCATAAATCCAAATTCAACAAACTGACAAGCAGTATTTAGCTTGAAGAATCAGAGAGCAACTCGGGCTACATGACCCAGGTGTCAACACAAGTCTATTACAGACAGCGTGGGAAAAAGACTTCTGTCAAGGTAGTCGTCTGGCAAAGTCCGAAGAATCATGTAAATTGCAAGTTGTAGTTAGTTCAGTTGTAGTAGTTAAGTTGGGTAACCACTGTTGGCACAGCGTTGTACATATGTCAGAGCTTTGTGCAGAGAAGGGCACGTGCACCATCCCCGCCTCCCCCACCTATTGAGAACTATATCCACTTTTATTTAACCAATGATATCATAGCATAGGTTCTTCAAAGGGCTTCACTACCTCTATACTTTATTGCGGAGCGAAGCGAAGCAACTATAAAAAATAACCCTTTCCCCCTGGGAAGGGATGCCCCGGAAGGGCACCCGGAGGGAACGCCTCGAAAGGAGATCATGTGACTAGGCGCTCTCTACTGGGTCGAAAAAAATAGAAATCCAGTCGGTGAAAGAGTAATCGCTGAGAAACGGCAGAATAGATCCAGCCGGCAGAAAAAAAAAAAGCAATCATCTAGTACTCTGTACTCTAACCCTATCCCCTTAACATAAGATCCTAAGATCCTTAAGCAGCTCAAAGATATTAAATCAAAGGAGCATATTATTAGAGGGGGCGACTCACTCTCCTATTTCTGTCTAGTTATTAGGTGGTCAATTACTACGTCCACGGGTAGCCACTCATATAAAAGGTACATATACCCCATATTATGTACTCAACCCTTTGGCTAGTTAAAGGAGAAATAAGAGTATGAATCAAGAATAAATTTATAGTTGAATTGATTGGCTAATAAAAAAAATCTCGGATATCTTATATATAGAAGTGACAAAATCTCTATTATGTATATTTTATATTTATGTACCTTTTGTGTGGGTATACCATATAAAAGATACCTAAAATCCCAAAACTTCCGTTATGTGGCAATCTTCTGTTATGTGGGACAGACCCATACCTGGAACAGGTATGGGGGCGGTAAGACGGCTATTCTTATAGTCAGATCGGGAAGGCACTACATACGGGGTATTGTTTGCTATATATTGCTATATAAATAGATCCTCCCCCCACCGCTGTCTCTCTCCCCATCCACTTCACCATTACCTTTGGAATGCTACCCAGTCTTTCTCCCTGATCGAGGCCATCCTTGTGTAGCCATCTCTGGAAAATGTCTCTGGAAAATGGCAAATCCAATCTCATTCTCAGAACTCCTATGAGAAATGCCTCCTCCAATCAATGACGGGTCCTCACACATGGCAAACAGTGCCATCCCTAGGATTGAATATGTTGGTTCCCTTCGCCCCTAGCCACCTTGGTCAACTACGAATACTACTGACATCATATAGGCGCTTTCATATATCCCAAGATCGATATCAGCTCTTCATGACTGTTGCCAAGTATGACGAGAACCATCTCAAGCACCCGAGCGATAAGGAGCATAACATGCAACCCATCATAACTGTCTCTTCAGGGTTGCAGCCCACCTCAATGACATTCGAGCACATGATAGCTGTTGATGAGCAGCCCAAGAATGTGTTGGTGAGGTTTTGAGTGCCGTGTTCAACACGAAACAGTTGGATTTAGGTTTCGCAGATTCTAAATGCAGAGTTAGGCTGCCGGAGCTACCATTATCTGGAATCATGATACATCCAAGCTTATCGGGTAGTCGACCAGAGCTATCCGGAGGATCATAAAAAATAAGAGGAACTTCCTATCGAGGTGGTGAGAGCAAAACGGTCTTACCGTTCTTGCCGGATCATTTTCCTCCCCATTATGGGTCTTCAGTGGTCCCTACAAATCCTGCAAACCCTTGACCAACTCACTTGGCGCTCTGCAGGATAGGAAGGAACGACGTCAAAGCTGCCGCCATTGAGAACTTCCCTTTCTAACACGTGCAAAAGTTTTCATCGAGCTCTACTCGATAGATGTCCAATTACGACACTCGGTGCATGATCATAGCACTTGACTGGGGCTCATGAGGTAGCTTCACGCGGCGCAGTTCAAGTATGGAGGGATGTGGTACGCGATATGGGACTGATTGCATCGGTCGATTACCCCGGCAGGATCTAAACGCGAAAATCGTGAGCGAGGTCAAAAGGACTGAGCATTGGCACATGATCTGTCTGGCTGAGAAGGGAGCCCGCAAAGGCAAATGACCGGAGCTTTCGTCGAGAAATCAGTAAGAATTTTTCTCCAGCCTAAGGTTCAAGACTCTAACCCGATATAGGCCAGCTTGCACGACACATATAAGACTCCATGCAGCTCAAGCATGCCTTGTTGACAACATATGACCAGGCTGTCTTCCTTGAGACAAACAAACTCTGGAAGAGAGCTAGGCATAGAATTTTCGACTCTTAGTCGATTAGACTACGCTACCCCGATATCACCAGATTGCGCCAATCCCAGCAACTCCAGACAAGAGACGTCTGACAACAATACTTCTTTGGACCTATTATTAGGTCTGTTGAATAAATTCTTTCTCGGTGCTTCGCTTGGTGGGTGCGTTCACAAAGACCGCCTTGTTGGGTCTTGGCGATTACCCGTTAAGCGAGCTAGATACTGGCTTGTGGGTGGTGAGCATATTACACTGTCTGGATGGTCCTTCAGCAAGAGGCCCGAACTATACCAAACCATCGGCAATTGCGCGGAAACGTATCCTATAGTTCATCTCTTGCGGTAGGTTATTTTTCTCGCGGCAATGAGCTATATTGACATATCACCATAAACAGCGGACTTAATACGACCAATGGAAATGTTCACGGCCTCGCTCTAAGAAAGAAAGCGCTGAGGGCACCGCGGTATAAACACACCCTCAGCGGCCGTTTTTGGAATGCAGTTGCCAATCCATGCAAGAATTGCCAGTTTCTGATTGAGCTACATGGAGGAAACTTACAGAACTTCTGTCGTTTTGCTGGGTCTGCCGGAGCGCCAGCCTAGGACGACCCATGAGAAAAGATAAGCGATCGGAGCCAAGTTGATCAACTAGTTGGGACAACACTAGACCTAATGACCCGAGCGCACGAGTCAACCTGGTTATCGACGAGGAGCTGGGCTTTGTCGTGATCAACGGCATTGTTCCTGGCAAGGTCTATCCCTACTACGGCAATATCTCCACATTTACCCCAGACTCTATGACTGCGAACCAGAAAGTGCAGGAAGTATGGATTGACAAGGTGAAAACACAGAGGGTAGAACTGTGGATGGGTGTCCAATGTGATCTATGGTCCCTTTTTATCTGGGCTAGGATGGAAGTCCTATGGTGAAGCAGATCAGTTTTCCTATAGTTAACAATGAATTTTGTCCTTTTTTTCATTTTTAACCGACTAACTGCTGCTTTTGTCTTTTTTCTTGTATTGTCGTAGAGAAATATATGTACATTATAATACTAACCAAGTACTACATAGTTACTAAGTGTCTATGATCTGCAGGCAGAAACGTTATACTATTCAGGCATCAACGTGTGAAGACCCACCTTCCCTCTTCGGAAGCACATGTTCCTATATATTTCACAGCAACTCACTCCCCCTAACCGAGAGTACCCCAGTGGCTGAGTGGGCTCGTATGCATGCACCTGGTTATCTCAGCTGCCTGCGTTCGACCTGCTCAGTCCACAACCATAAACTTCCCAATTATGCACCCCCAACCGTCTTCTTCCCACCGCAGGTCCAGGACCCAGTTCTGCCAGCAGGCAGGAATTGAGGATCTTGGGGTCGAACAGATTGTCAGAGAGCTGTATGGGCCCCCAAAATTGGTGCATTGGTTGGGCAGTGGCTAGCACTGGCTGGGACTCTCACTTTTTGGTTTGGTCAACTGCTCGTTAGTTTGTCTTTCCAACGACCAACTATATTCGAAGAATTGTCTGGATTTATTGCTATGACCTCTTTCGCTACCGGTGCCACTATACTTATCTATCGGTTTTGAAATGAAATTGCGTCGACTACCAGGACGATGTGGTCAATAGGACGGCTGTCAATTCTGATCGAATCCTCAATTCTGGGATATTTCGTATGTCAGACTGTGGCATCACTGTTCAAAATCAGCTTTATCTCCCATACCACAACCTCCTTTGTACTTACTATATGTACTTTTTAGAATTATCCATAGACGTGCAGCCAAATCGATCCCCGATTGAGTCAGGAGTCGTCACTGTCCCTATAAATTATGCATCAGAGATTATCTTTACAAGTATGCATGCAAGCCCCGACTAGGAGATAAAAAAACCCAATAAACCAAAGATGGCGAGGCTACCTAAGGTGGCCGTACCTCGTCCTACGGTTGAAGGTAAATAATATTTAGACAAAATATGGGGCAAAGAGAACGCGAATAGACTAGCTCCACAAAAAAAGAAATAATCACTCTCGTCGAAGGAGGTGACGAACAAAAAATAGTTCTCACAGAGATGCCCCGCAAAAGGGGGAGGGAAGAAGAAGAAGGACAAGAAGAATAATAAGAAGACAGCCGGCAAGGATCAAACGCCAGTTATACATTCCAATCCGTTCCGCCGGGGAGTATGATTCGCTGAGATGAGAAGAAACGCCATTAAATGCCGGGGAGAGTTCGTGGTATAGTCATTATAGATCACCGTTTGTGTCGGTCGCCACCATACGCTGTTTCTGTTTCTCTTTGCTCTTCACCACCAGTGCGTCAATTGTATTCTGCACTTCGTGTTTGGCCTCTGTTTCGAGGTTGGTGCGTTCATCTGGCTCAAGCGTTTCCTTGTCCCCGACCCGCTCGTAGAGCATGCGAGAGATAGATCGGTTGATGTTCGTATATTGCTCTTTCGAGATGGTCTTTTTCTTGTAGTGAGGTTTTAACCCAGTGCCCACCATTTTCTGGATATCGGCTTTGAGGGCCAGGGATGGACCAGCTCGAGTGGGAGATGAGTCAGGTGAGCGGGATGCCCCGAAACACAGTGCTCGTTGGGGGATGCGGGAGCGAGGACGATCGGCTTGCCGTTGTGGTTTGTCTTCTTTGGCACCATTTGACGACGGACTACCCGATAGGGACACTTCGGGCGAGAAAGGAGGAGATGAGGGTTGGGCGGGGGATGATAGTTGAAAAGGGGAGATGGGGCGGCTTCGCGAGAAAGGTGGTGGTGTAGCCGAGAGGACAGGGGAGGAGTAACGAGATGAGGCGGGAGAGATGGAGGGAGAAGATAAACCAGGAGATGGATGGTCGGTAGGACCGACAGATGTCGAAGCTGAAGGTCCATATGAATGATTCGGTGCGTCTTCGACTTCCTTCAATAGCGACGATAGGAAGCTTGGCCCGGTGGAATTATCACTGCTCGGTCGTACAATGGAGCTCCCAGCTCTGGATGATTCCCCATTTTGAGTTTGCTGTGCGCGAGCCGCGAGCTCCTGTGGCCTCCTCGTTCGAGGACGCTTCAACTTGCGCTCGGGTTCTGTGGGCTCGGGGGACGGCGACATGGTTGGCTCTTTGCGCTTCCTGGCTGCACTCGGGTTGTTTTCGATCTCCCGCGCCCTCTCGAAGGCGTTCCAAGCCCGCATCTCCTCCAGCGACTCGGGCTCTGGTGTCGGAACTCGAGGAACCCGAGGTCGGGATGGTCGGGCATGGTCAAGATCGAACAGGGATGCTGTATCGCGAAACCGACTGCCACCACCTTGTCGCTCAGCGACTTCAAAGCGGCGTTGCCAGGCTTGAAATTCGCGCTGGTTGGCCTCCTCGCGACGACGTTGTTGCAGCGCGCGTTCGGCAGATCGATCGTCATCGAAAGGGAAATCAAGATCGAGATTCAGATGATCCCAGACAGATTGCCAGACTCGTGCCCAGTGTAGAGAATTCGTCTGAGTCCGATTCTGTAGTCGTCTCTGCTGGGCCCTAGTTCGCCGACTCCGCTGCTCGATCGCCCGCGACGGCCGTGCTGATACCTCGGGAGCAGGTCCCTGAGCACGTAGCTCCTCACATTGTTGGCAGTACCATGACCCTGAGGGGATCTCGGTCAAACCTAAGCAGTATATATGAGAAGGCCCATCACATCCGTCGCACAAAAGGAGAACATCCTCGTTATCGGCTTGTCCGCAAATTGTACATGGTTGGAAATCGATCAAGTCATCCTCCACATATTCAATAATCATAGAAGGGTCAACTTCGGCCACTTGAGTTCGGTCCTGAACAGCGTAGGATGAAGTAACAGTTCCTATAACAAATCAATATAGTCAGTACTTGTAACCACCATGTTATAAGTCACAAAAATCAAGGAAGGGGCAGCGTCATACCTCCGACACTATCGCTCAACTCCACCATATTGAAACTTCGCCGACATATTGGACAACTGTTTGCTCGTTCAACCCATGGTTTTAAGCAATTATTATGTAGGACATGACCACAGGGAAGTAGCTGAGCGATCTGAGAGTCGAGCCCATTGAGGTCGCCATCCTTCAAATCAAGGCTCACAGGCTCAAGAGGATCACCCGCTCCTTCACCAAGGTCTCCTAAACAAACAATACAGGTATCGGACATGAGAAACAGATTTATTAGAGAAGGCGAAGTCCATGAAGAGCGACTCTCGAGAAGTGTAGAAGCGAGAAAGGTGTGGGGAGCGCCTTTTGAAGGTGGGCCGGATTACCGGACTAACGCAAAGCAGGAACGTGACGGAGGCGAATGATGTACGATGCCCTGGATTGGCGGGTTTGGACTATCTGCGATCTTGGTATTACCATGACTACATTTGAAATTTTGGGAATTCTCTATTGGACTTGGTGTTTTATGGCTACTAATTATGCTTGAGTATCTGATCTGGTCATGGACATCCTGCAACCATCCAACAAGGTCCCTGTACAACACAAAATACACACAGAGTCCCGAGTGTAAGGTGGCCGTCGATCTACAAATTAAAAATGACTACATTAGGCGCCCATGATTTGGCTGAAACCTGAATCACTGGGCAGCCTGGACAGTTTTCACCTTGGTCGTCGGGCAAGATCGATTTGCCCGGAGCCCTGGGTTAACATGCGACCGGATCGTACCAGTAGGATATATCATGTGGGCCGGAGTATGCTAGGCACCTGGTGCAAATGTTCAGGTGCACGTAGAAAGTACGAAAGATATAGTCCGGAGCGCAGTCGGTCCAAGCACCCAGACAATACGCTAAGACCAGGTGACCTCCAAACCAAGACCACCGATGTTGTGTCGAGTCTACGTGACTGTCCAGCGTCGCGAAACCACAAAAGGCCGCAAATATGCAGTCCATCCATATGACTCACGCGGTCGCAGAACGTCGAAGGTAATCAGGTGGAGGATCTGGATTGCGGTGGATTGTCTATCATGTAGGCAGCGACCGAGACGAACTTTGAAAACCAGTCACATCGATATACGGTATACTCGGGGCCGAAGCGGATTGCAACAAGAATTGTATTCCCGAATTTTTTCATTCATTTTTGGGTAACCGTAAAGAGAAATGAAACCACATAATCCTCCCATTTAGACCTCAGCGATCTCACGCAGACGACGGATGGTGGAGCGGGTGGCAGCGGCAGCGGGGGTGCTAGATAAAACAGAACTGTCAGCAATCTTTCCTCTTTTGGTACATTGTGGATCGCGATTGTGTGCGCAAGCCCAGGTCAATGCCCAGGTCGCATCACAGTGTCGCTCCATGCAATAGCGGGCGACTTACGAGACGACGTAAGCACCGCCGGCAACTGTCTTGTCGCAGCCCTTGCACTCCCAGATACCGACAGCCTTGCGCTTGACGGTGTTCTTTCCGCAGAATGTGCAGACGTAGCGGGCGTGCTGGGTGACTTCCATCTTCTTCACCTGCTTACGCAGGGAGGCACCGTATCTGTTGGGATATTGTTAGAATCCTGATCGTCGTATAGGAGTATTCGCTAAGGGTCGTGTGTCTCGATCGAGGAAATCACAGTCGTGTGGGCGCGAACTAGACAAATGTCATACCTGGTACCATATTTACCGGTGATGCCGACCTCTGTAGAAAATAGTTAGCATTGAGCAATTCGTTTTGCGGTGTGTTGAATTTGAGAAAGAGGCACATACTCTTGGTGCGCTTCGTCATCTTGGCTGGTGGAGAGGATGAAGATGGGTATTCAACAGGAGACCGAAAAAGGACGCTTTGAATGAGGGCGGGTTGTGCTGTGGATTCTCGCTTAGGGCTCTTGGCTTGGTGTGATCACCTGACCATTTTGAGTTAGTGGGCTTACATCAGCAAGTTGATGGCCTCAGGTTTCCAATGCTTACTTGGTGTGTTTCGGTCCACAAGGTCCACCAGATGAGGCGATGACGATGTTGGTGGATGTGACCTGGTTGATTTTGGTAGAATTTCCAAGAATCTGTTTGATTTGATACTTGATATTGAAAACTTTGATTTTCACTTGATGCCTTCTATTTCAGGTGTCTGATGTATGTATAATTTCCCTCTTTCCCTCTAACATCATTCAAGATGACCCTGTACAATAATAGATTTGTATAGTATCAAAACCATCCCAATCCGGCCTGATTCCGTTCGAAACCACCGGCCCCCCCGGTCTCCTTTTCTCGGGCTAATTGATCTATCCGATCACGTGATTCTTCCATGCCATGAAATATAAACATCTGCGGTTCCCTGGTCAAGGTAGAATCTCAATTGTGTGACATAAGTTGCCTCTATTTCTATGTAAAGCCCCAAGAACTCTTTCGTGACTATTCCAACTACTCCTATTTCCAACGCCCCACACTGCGTTTTGAAACGTGCCGAGGAGCTTGTGATTTGCCGGAACCTCCCTTGTTCTACAACTACATCATAAACTCCAAACCCATCGACTCAACCACCATGACTTCCAACCGACAGTATGACCTGGTTTTGCTGGGCGTAACTGGCTATACTGGCCGATTTTGCGCAGAGCACATTGTGCAGCATCTTCCTACCGATCTGAAATGGGCTATCGCAGGTCGATCCGCAGAGAAACTGGAGTCTATCGCCCAGGAACTCAAGGGTCTTAACCCAGACCGCGTGGACGCAGGTACATAACCTTACGGTCCCATTTTTCTATAGCTCTTATATCTCAATGCTCACCCTGGGGTCATCATAGATGTCCTGGTCGTTCAACTAAACTCTATCGAGCTCAACGAGCTAGCCCTGAAAACGCGGCTGGTTATCAACTGTGTGGGTCCATACCACTTGTACTCGACCCCAGTTGTGGAGGCATGCGCTGTCAATGGAACTCACTATGTGGATGTGTGAGTTTTGCTTCATATCTGATTCAAACACTTGCTGATCGTTACAGTTCTGGAGAAACACCCTGGATCAAGTCGATCATCGAGAAGTACCACGAGACCGCCAAGGCTAATGGCGCTATTGTTCGTTCTGCACCCAATTCCTATAAGATACATTCATGCTAATTGCGAACAGATGATCCCTTGTAACGGTGTCGAGAGTGCCCCTGCTGATCTGTTGGCATGGTCTCTGGTTAAGCGAGTCCGAGAGGACCTCGCGTCTTCAACCCGCCAGATTGACAGCACCATCAAAGAGATGAGGTATGCAATTTCATATCCACAAAGAAACCCATTTCTAATCCATTCACAACAGATCCTCCGGTCCTAGCGGCGGCACCATAAATACTATTCTAACCATCTTCGAGGGCTTTTCAATGTCCGAGCTATCCAAGTCAATGACTCCCTTCTCATTGGCAGCATCCCCGCCACCGAAAAACATCCCTCGCGACTCAATCCTGGAAAAGATCTTCGGCGTGCGTTCAATTCGCGACCTGGGTACCGTGACGACCTCCCCGTCCGGTATCTGCGACATCACCATCGTGCAACGCAGCAGCAGCTTGATGCCAGAGCTGTACGGGCAGCAATTCGTCTTCCGTCAGTTCCTGTCGGTCCGTAACGCGCTGGTTGGCGTCGCCATTCACATCGGCTTCCTGGTTGCACTTTCGCTGCTTGCGCTGTCGCCGGTGCGCTGGCTGGTGAAGAAGTTCGTCTTTGCCCCTGGCAGTGGTCCGCGCAGAGAGGACTCGACAAATGACCTTCTCGAGTACCATGCCATCGCTACTGCGGAGAGTGCTCCGGTACAGCGCGTCTTCGGTAAGATCACTTACCACGGCGCCATGTACCCCTTTACTGGACTGTTGCTGGCTGAGGCTGCTATGGTTATTCTTAACGAGGAGGAGAAGATCAAAAAGGTCTCGCGCGGTGGCATTGTTACTCCCGCTACGCTGGGTCAGGACTACGTGGACCGCTTAGAGAGGGTCGGCTGCATAATTGATACTAAGGTTCTCCAGTACTAAATAGTTTGATCGTTACGGGGTGAGTCCCAGTTTGTGCATCTATGCTGGCTCGACTTGTTATGAAGCGCATGTTCTTTTTACTTTTCCGATATGAAATACGTATTTTCACAATAATCAATCAATCCTGTTTTTTCACTGTGCCACTATACCTATCGTTCCTTCAATCAGAGCTTGCCAGACCTTCCATCAGCAAAATATTGTTGATTCAACCAAGACCTAATAATCTCATTGACTTCCTCGGGCTTCTCCCACAGAGCCCAGTGCGAAGTATCAACCTGCTCCAGGGTCAGCCGTGGGACCTGCTGCCCCATAGATTTACCCAAATAAGGCGGCAGAGCCTCGTCTCTCAGCGCTTGGATAAACAGGGTAGGAATTTGGACCCCGCGCTCGAGAATAGGAAGTTCATCGTCATAGTCCAAGTCACCAGTGCGGTAATAATTAACTATTGAGATAATTAGCAAGCGTCCGACGAACGAACCCAGAAGAGACCATACGTGGTCCATGAAGCCCATTGCGAGCAAATTCATCCGTGTAAAAATCCAACTCCTAGAGAAAGAAAGTCAACATAAAAACCCCAACCCCGAACCAAAATCAACTAAGCCCGCTTACCTCCTCGCTCAACAACCTCGACGGCTTCAACTGGCCAATTTTGTCAAACAAAACACCGTTATTGGCATCGAACCCCACCTCGCCCTCCTGCGTACGACCCCCATAGAGCGCAATCAGAAACTGGCGAATCTCAGCCTTAGACCGAATAGCCTTCTCCACTTTCTCGCTCTTGAACTGTAGCTGGTACGCGAAGTGCGGTGACAAGTTCCGGACCATGTATTCGATAGAGATATTCTTGGTCATGGGTGGTGAATAAGGCACGCTGACTGTGAATATATGTTTTACTAGCTCCGGGTACCAGAGGACAACGCGGTAAGCGAGTACTGCGCCCCTGCTTTGTGTATTAGCTTTGTGGTTCTGGGAAAAGGAGTTTGCCCAGTGTTGCTTGCCAGTCATGTCCACCTAGGATGATTTGGGTTTCGCCTAGATGGGTTGCTAGGGCTTTGATGTCTGCTGCGCAGCTTTTGTGGGAATACGGGGCGATTTCGTCTGGGGCGTCCTTGTTGGATTGTTAGATGATAATTCATTCCCATCTTAGGGTAGAAGGACTCACTGTTCGTCCGTATCCGAGGCAGTCGGGAGCTACTATCCGGAAACCCATGTCTACGATCATGGGAATCTGATATCGCCATCCGATGGAGAGATCGGGGAAGCCATGGATCTATGAAGATATGTCAACGTGTGTGGCTTTATGATTGAGCTAGCCGCTTACCAGAAAAACAGTGCTTTCGTATTCCCCTGATTTAGGCTGGCTGAGAAGGTAAGCTGCAAATCGTCAGTTCGGATTTATTCTGGAGAAAGACTTCTCCAAAGTATGCTATGCTCACAGTAGTTATGGCCGTTGAGTGTGGCGGTCTTATACTCAATACGGGAGTCACCCGATACTCCGATCTTGTCAACTGGCATGGCGAATTGATACAGGCAATGATAGTTATGTCTTCAGTTCAGTAAGGGAAAGGGATGTTTATGTGGGGAGAACAGATTCGTGGCCACCGTCTGGGCTATTTAGAGTCCAAGCGTTAAAGTACAACCCGGGATCAGGCCCCGAGGGTCCACAGTGTAATACTAATACCAAAAATACAGTAGAATAAAAACCCATTCACTTTCAATTAATTGAATTTGCTGTTTTAATTGAAACTATCTGTAATAATACCATATGTCATGCGGATCACCCGCACTAGATGCGGGATTTAATCCCGTAGCTGTGCAACCCCACATATCAGGTGAAGTCGATAAATACATCTATACAACTTGAGACCGATACAGATCAAAAGGAAAACCGGCGTCAGAGTAATAAAAGATATATAATCATGCATGAAGCTAGCCCGGAGAGGATCTCATGCCGGAGAGATGACATACCCCTCTGAGTCTTAGGTGTGCCTCGGCACGTTGGAAACAATTAGTGGGGCGCCAAGACACTCTATAAACCCTACATCCTTCTATGTTGTATGCACGGAGTACATAGTGCACAGATATATTGGAGGTTCATTCTTAGACGTACGGCTAGCACAGCAATATCGATTTGCATTGGGCTCGGGTGAGGAAAGATTCATGCCTTCCTCGAGAGGCGCTGCTTCGTAGGAAACGACCCAGCTTGCCAATATCTCTAATCCGAATATACGCACCATTGCTGCCAGCACTCAAAGTTAGACGATGAAGAGATGCAAAAATGTAACGGACTAGGTAGGTCGCTAGGAGATTCCGAAAGTGGCTGGACTTGAGACTGACATCTTAATGCTCGAACGACTGATGAAAGTGGTTCCCAGTTACAAACAGTCCAACATACAGACGCCGACAGATGTTTCTGTGCAAGTGGAGTTGTTGCAAATTACATTTTCTTCGTCTATTCTAGGCGGCCAGTACTTTCCAAATATCGAAATAGACGATTGTCATTGTAAGGAAGGACGCCTGATAAGATCATAGGTGTTCAAGAAAGGATGGGTGGCCACGGAGACGGAGAATGGATCAAGTTTGACAAAAGTCGAAGATATTATTACATAACAGCAGACGGAAGTTATCACAGTGGCAAAGTTTATATGCATGGGAAATGGCTTTATTCAGAATTGGAATTGGAGATAGGGACCCTCAATCAAAGCCCACCCATCATAATGTTTATGAAGACCGCCTTGAAGCCACATATTTGGGGGTTGGATCATGCCATACCCATCTGGATAATCGACGAAACATGACCGAGACCGAGACATATCAGTCACGAACCCTGCAGGTGTTGCTTCCAGTCCAGCTGCTCCACCTAGAGCCCCGCTGGTCCTAGTCGCCAAATCGTCTGTATTGATTGCGAATCCTCGAGGTTTGATAGTACAGCGCGCGTTACCACCATGCCTGCCAGCTTGTCGGGTATTGTTGCATGATGCTGCAAAAGCAGTCCGAGGCACAGGGATATTTCGTTGAATTGTATTCGGGTCCGAATGTTCGTTGATATCCTTCATTCGCGGAGCAGGTTTGAATAGTCCACCGACAGGATGTTTTTCACGTGCTCGCAGTTGTAAAGCTTGTAGTCATTTTGTCGTTAGGCTGAACATTGTAAACCCGCCGGACTCATGCTTGGCTCCCCTCCACTTGGACACCAAGCCACAAGCCTCTCTTGAAGATCATTGATTCCTGAAACTTTTCTTTTGGTAGAACAGATCCGTCCTCGAACTTCCCAGATTGATGATCTTGGGGCATCCATCGCGATCCTTCTCGAGACGCGTACATTCAAAGCAGTAGAACGCATCACTGATGCCCTCGCCACCGCAGACCACACACTTGTTCTGGTAGTTTCCGAAAGAGCACTCGTCGCAAATGCGGACGAGAGTCGTGGGGCGCACGTAGGAATCGCAGACGGGACATTTTCCGTCGCATTTGTCACACAGACGGCCGATAGAGATGCCGGGTTGCTTGCGGCACATGACGAGATCGGGGTGGTGACGAGACATTATGATTTGAGTGGCGTAACAGGAAAATGAGAATATTAAAGCTGTAGAAAGTGGAATGAAGTATGATTTGGCACTCGCTGGGAAGTAAGAGGAGAAAAAGAAAAGCCGACGGTGAACGCCCCAACTAAATGGTAGGTGCACGTGACTCCAAGTAATGTGATTCTATGCAACATGTCTCGTTATTTTGCGCCTCTTGAACAACTCCAATACCTGACCCGGATCGGAGCACTTAACGTCGCTCATTTCTTCCACCAGTTTGTTTCTTTCTTACAACCAGCGTTGTTTGCCGATCACCATGTCTGAAGGGTATGTAGCTTTCATCACCCCGTACAACCCACGCGCGCGCATTGTAATTGGAGCGCTCTAGCTAACGCGCATATTACTTTGACAGCCCAGAGACACTCGCTTCTGCAGTGGCCGTTCCCAACCAGGATACTATCCAGTCTCCGGAGTTGACAGCCAAGCGACGAAAGTCTTCAACTGCAGAATACGACACTAAGCGCCGACGACTCAGCTCTACAGACAACACCTCCCCGCATTCTCAGCGGCACCGGCCGTCATCCCCTCCACCTGCGACAGATGAGTCTGTGGAGAAAAAGCCTACGCGACTGCGCACAGGTCGAGATGAGGATCGCAAGCGGGGTCAGCGGTTATTCGGGGGGCTGCTTGGTACTCTATCGCAGAGCTCAAGTTCCGCGGCACAGAGACGTCGCGCTGACATTGAAAAAAAGCAGCAAGAGAAGTTGAAATCACAGGATGCCGAGTTCGGTGAATTGAAGAAACGGCGAAAGGAACAGCGGGATGAGATTCGCAGAAGAGAAACTCCGCTGTATGAGCGAGAAGCGGTATGTTCATGATCTATCCACTTACATACCAATGAGGTATATGGTGATTAAGTTTTTACTGACTCTTCTCATTCTCAGATGCAAACACGGCATTCGAATATGCTTGCTATGGCACATTTCTTCAAGACACAGGCAGAGCCGGCTCTGGTGAGTTATGCTGTTCATATTATAGTAGCCATCAGCTAATTCATTTTAGTATTACAAACCATGGCAACCCCGACCTGGCGACGATTCAACGGTAAAACAACAAATCGAAGAAGCAGAGGCAACTATTGCCCGAGAAGTCGCCGAGTTTGAAGCCCGATATCCACCAGAGGCATTTGTGCCCGAACAGCCAATGCTGGTTGAGACACAACCAACTCAGGCTGAGACACAACCAACTCAGGCTGAAACACAACAACCTGCAAGCGAAGAAAAGCCCCAATTGTCAGAAGAGCAGCAGCAAACAGGTGGTCATCAAGACCAGCCATCGGTTCCAGAGCACGAGGCAGATCCGACAGATTCAAAGTCTAAGGAAACAGCTCAAGGTGCTCCAGATACGGTCGGTGTAGACACCAAAGGCCAAACCTCCGATCCAGCCAAAACAGACGAAGTCACTGCCAACGTGGAGGAAAGTGCCGTTCAAGATCAGCATGATGCCCACCGAGATGATGACGGAGGCGAGGTCGTTGAGGATAACGAGGACACTGTGATTTATTAGTTTATAGTCGACCATAGTCGACCTTTTCATGCCAAGTTATGTTTCTTTAGGCCGACACTGACAAATACCCGGGAGTTTTCGTTCTTGATTTGATATGTGTACGTGAGATTCGTCCTAGAGCTCAGTAGGATTGTCTAAGGCAATATGATAACAAATATCCACGTATGCTTCATCCCAAACTACTTCAACATGGCAAGGACATCAGTATAATAGCAATCAATTATTCTCTCTAGTGATGTGACTACCTCTGCCAGGGTGACTACCTACAAGTCTTCGGCTACGGAGATTTACACCCTTCATGTATTCCGTGGGACTCGTCAAGTGGCAATGTGAGCCACAACTTCAGGAACATCCACGAGAAAGCCCGGTTTGATATTTGTTGCTGACCTACATGGACTTCCACAACATGATGATGTTGATGTCCCTGTGGTGGGTTAGGCAGCATGTGCTACGGGACCCTCTGCTGACCCTATCTCATGGGGCTACGGAGAGATGGTGTTCAGAGGGATGTGGAGGAGAGAAGAAGAGAAGAGGAAGATTTGGGGGGAGGGAGCCCTTTTATACCTCCAGGTCGAGCTCATCAAATCAATTAGGAAATCACCAGTCATGTGTCCAGCACTTGGTGACCTCGAGTGATTCTTTCTGTTGCTCATACAACCTACACCAAGAATAACTAAGAGGATCATATTAGACGCCTTGGAAAACTGGCCACGGCTACAGATATCCAGGAAACATCAAATATGAACAGGTTATCTGTGAGAATTGTACGCTTCAAGGGGTATATGAGGATCCGATCAATGTCTAACCATTGATCCAATTCTACCTTTGCTGGTAGAACAAGAATCTACCAAAGTTTCAGACAATAACCTGGCGAGTCAAGCACAGTACTGCTATATTTACTACAACTATCGGATCGGAGGCTCTCTGGCCTCATCAAGAATATAGCCTATCTATACAATAGCGATTTACCGGCCGGGGCGACGGGGTCTCGCAAATCCTCGCGCAGGACCCTGGTCTCGTGATGGAGTGACTTCCTCTTGCAAACGATCACCGGTGATCTCGTCAGGGTGAGAGGCCTCAATCTGCTATTTGTGAGCATCCGAAACGACCATCCACAACGGGGCACGCATACCTTTTTCTCGATCTTGAGTCCTTCCTGCTCAGCAACCGCGATGGCGTTTCTCCGCGAGCTAGCGTGCAGCATACGCTCCTTGATCGAAGATCCAGTGGGACACGTGTACACGAAGATCACGACATCGGACCCGGGGTAATGATAGAAAGAATAACGCGGCGAAGAGGAGGAGATATGTGTGGCGACAGAGTGTGCCTCGACGTCAGAGTGAGAGTGGGCCAAGACGATCTTCTCCGTGGGGATATCAACAGTCTGCTTGAAGTTAGCCTCAAATTTCACAGATCCGGACGAGGCAGGGTATAACTTACCAGTTGTACCAACCCACCATGGCGTAGATCCCTCAGCGCAGACTTAGCTTCCTCGTGAACCGGCAGAGAAACCCTCATCCCAGAGCCAGAGGCAGGTCCAAAGGTGCCACCAATGCCAATATCTCTCCCGGGGGTGCCATTCCGTGCCTCGGCCTCCGCCTTACGAACAGCATCCAGCTCCCTCTCCTTCTCGCCCATCATATCTTCACGAGAGATAGCATTGGGGCCCTCGCCATCACGCTCGCGCCACGCATCCTGGCCCAGAATCTCGTCTTCCTCGGTAGCAAAGACGGTAGAAGCAAACTTCTCCGTGCCCAACTCGCGGGTCAGCGTCGAGCGAGTAGAAGCAAAGAGCGTCTTTGCTCGCACGGGTGCATTATACGGGATATAGGTCAAAGCGATGAGTGGAGCGGTAGAGGCGGCGGTCGATGGGCGCCGGAGAAGGAGGTAGATGGGGGTCTTAGGCTGGAGGACGGAGGACAGCTGGGGGAGGGCTGAAAAGAAGGCATTTTCCGATGGGCTTCCTTGGAAGGAGATTGGGGCCAGCGGCGTTAGGGTCTCTGCTGTAATAGTTGCAGGCAGACAGAAGGTTGAGGGGTCGGAGTTGAAGCGGGCGAATGCATCTTTCAGCTCCGCGGAGACTAGATGTTTGTTAGTGTTGAATTCAATGGGGGTTTTTCAGAGTTCAAGATCAAATAATTCGAATGTCTCACCTGTAATTCCTGACTGCATGATGCTGCACTGTAGGATGCAGCTCGGTTGGTTGGTTGTTATTTATGAGGGGAGAAGCGGTGAATAATGAGGGGCCGATAGCGCGTTGTCAGCCGTCAGGGCTGCCCAGTTGGGCTTTATTTCGACATCCAACGAGTCTATAATACAGAAAGGAGAAAAAACTTGTGTTATTTTAACTCGATAGGAATATGTTCTTGTGTGGTTGTTACACAAGCATTGCTGACTGGTGTATCTACAACCGGGTCATTCATGGACAGACCCTCAACACCAAATTACTACACTGGCAAACGACTCTTCAATGGTTTTGGATATTCTCTATTTCAGCTCAAGGCGCACCAAAGTGGTATAGAAAAGAACTAACGCAAAGCACAAAATATTTACACAAAGAGCCGTTTCAAGCGGCTTGCAATGAACAGTTCTGTTCCAGAGTCCAATGCGCGAAACAGGGAATGCAACTCCCACCATGCCAAGTCAGGTATCACAATGCTTTCCAGAAAACAACAAGACATTTTGGCACATTTACTCATCAAAGCTACCACCAACGAAAGACCAGTTAGAGCCCTCGAGCTTACCCTTGAGGTACTCATAGACGGTGAAAGTAACAGCCTGGCCGGGAGCAACACGCATGACACGAGGGGTGATACCCTTGTAGAAAGCGCGGTAACCCTCAGTCTTCCACATATCCTTGGCGATGACCATGATACGGGAGACAGCGGACTGACCGGGCTCAGCACGGGTCTTCTGGAGACGGGTCTTGATGGTGTCGATGGGAGCGTTGGAGAAGGGTCCGACGGCACCGGAGATCAGACCAATCATGGTGGTTTGGTAAGCGGGCAACTGGCTGTCGCTGTAGGCGGGTTGCCAGCGCTGCAGAGCAGCCTTCAGTTCCGTGTATGCGGTGAAGTTGGCGGCCTGGTTGGTTCCTTGTCGGAGGGCGGTCAGGGAGACACCGCGGTAGAGGACGCTGAAGCCTTCTTCCTTGACAACGGTGAAGAGCGCGTGGGGGGCGCTGCGGTACTTGGGGGCGTCCAGGGGATCGGCCAAACTGTGGTGCTGGGCCTGCAGACGAATTTTGATAACTTCCATAGGGTTGACAACGGCCACGGCTTCGGTAACACCGGCGGCAAGACCAGCTATGAGGGATTGTTAGCTTTCCATTATGCATTTTCGATTTTTTTCAACGCTTCGCATACCAAGGAAAGTGGCTTTGCTGCTCACGGCGCCTGTCTCCTTATTGGCGAGCATGCCCTTATATGATTCGTATGAGGTGAATCGGATGGCCATCTTCGGGATGATACCACCCAGCACGGCACCAAGACCCTTGTACAGACCCATAGCGGTCTCCTTTTGCACAATTTGAACACCGGTGGCCACGAACCCGCGTGGCTTAACCTGATCCAGCGAAAATGGTTAGCAATGGCTTTTGATTGTCGAATGGCAAATTCCGTAACTCACCCCAGGTGCTGTGGCCCTCCTTGACAGCTGCATGCGGACCTTGATTGTGTCTAGAGGATGGCACACGAGAGCCTCCATCATACCGGCACCACCACCAGCTAATCGGGCATAGGTCAATAACCGTACACGACCCCGAAAGGGGGAGTGAGTCTATGCTACATACCGATCAAGTTGACCGCAGGCGATGTGCGCTTCTGCTGATTGACATTTTTGGCAGACATTGTTTCGATATGTTTTAGTATAACTGTAGAGAAATTGCACTTTTGTTCACAAAGATTTCACAGGAATCCTTCAATGTCGGTAATCAAGTTTCGCAGATGTTCCGATTGTCGCGAGAAAAAGCCGAGAATGTGGAGAAGTGCGGAAGTATACCGTTCCGGAGATAAGCCGAACAATTGGAAGAGATGGTATATCTGAAAGAAAGATCAAGATATCAATTGCAAGGATCTTTAATCTTTCAGGAAAGAAAAGGCGAAGTTCCAGGGTATATGATTCAAGGCGAGTGGCAACGGTGCCAAACTTTGTGGGGAGCTATGACGGGGAAGCGGAGGAAGCTGGACGAACGGAAGTATGACCACGCACAGATGAGAAGACCAGAGAAGAAAGAAAGGGAAAAAAAAGAGGTGACAGATCCAGGACTTGCCGAGGGGAGATCTCTATATGTATAATAATTATGTCCTATTTGGTACCGAGCACAAAATGTAGGGCGCTTCACGACAATCCCGAGGCCTTCGGCAACAAGGGCGGCTCTCTTCTCAGCGGAATGAATGACCCCAGATTTTTAATGATCAGATTTCACATGTCTTGTCCAAGTTATCACGTTGACGGCTTGTGATTATACTCGGTACCTTGAGATTCAGATTACATCGTACAATGTAGGGGGAGAGAAAGTACAGAAAACGCCCGTGCCTTGTTCGACTAGTTACAATGTATAATATCATCTTATACACAATCTACCCGTAGACTACGGAGTACAACAGTCCAGAAAAGCCTAATTTCTCCAGGGAGCTCATTACTCCGGGGATATTCTGAATATTTCGGGACTTACAATTCGGAGCGAAGTATCGAACTCCGCTGGCGGGTGATCTCGGACCAGCGCGAGATCTCCCCTCAGCCGAGGTCCATCCCCAGAAAGGGTCATGGGACGTTCTGAGTCAGATAATTAAAGTATTCCAAGGTTCGTTGAACGTGGGGCTTGCTGCAGGCTTGAACTTTGTGTTTATAGTCAGGGGTTCAGTTGTTGGAATGTATATATGGGCAAGGTGTTGCGGCAGTGACGTTGATAGTAGCGTCATTTTGATCGGATGAACGTTTTCCCGAATTTATAGTGGCATTTGCACGGCGTTTGTTCGGACTTTGTTGTATGGAGTACAAGAGATCTAGTTACCTCGGACAGACCAAATAACGAATTATACAAGATATGAAACTGACAGTGTCAGCATGATCTAGTTCCTCCGTATGTTGACTCAGATTACGAATATGTCTCCGGTGCCATTCGACCCGATTGATGACATCGGCTACCCGACTTCGGCAACCCGTTTTGGATTCCCAGATTTGATATACAACATACAAAGATGCAAAATATACACTTATCCATGATGGATACCACCATGTACATTGTAATAGTACAACATATAGCTTCAGATGATGCGATTCCTGTGCGCGCTATCGAATCCGATGGGTCGGACTTACCCCGATCACGAAAATTTCCCCCTACATATCCCCTACATACCCCAAAATCCATCCACGGCGGTACAATACCCATGCCATCATTCCTAGACTAAAAAGAAAATGGAAGCAGCCCCGGACATCGCACAGCCACGGTGGCAGCAAGCCCTGAAGCGCATCGCAAGTCTAATCCTCCGCCAATGGCTCCTAATCGGGATCGGCGTCGTGTGCGCCCTGGCATACTGCTTCCCAAACGTGGCCAAGCATGGAGGCATCATCCGCTCCGAATACAGCATCATGTACGGCGTGATCGCGATAATCTTCCTAATCTCAGGATTGAGCATCCCGCGCCAGAAGCTTATCGAGCACGTGCTGAATTGGCGACTCCACTTGATCGTGCAGGCGGTTTCGTTTCTGTTTATTCCTGCGCTGGTGCTGGCTATCGTGCATATTATCATCGCTGCCGATACGGGGAGTAAAATTGATCGCGCGGTGCTGGCGGGGTATATCTTCACTGCTTGTATTCCGACGACGATTGCGTCCAATGTTGTTATGACGAGGTCTGCGGGTGGAGATGATGCGGCTGCTTTGGTGGAGGTCTTGTTGGCTAATATTCTCGGCCCGTTTGTTACGGCTGCTTGGACTGTTGCGTTGATACCTAAGAGGGCGGAGTTTGATCCCTGGCGGTATGGGGGTGGGAATTTGGGAAGTATGTATAGGGAGGTTTTCAAGCAATTGGGACTCAGTGTGTTACTGCCACTGTTCGTTGGGCAGGTGGTGAGGTGGACTTGGCCTGATCGCACTGCGTATGTCATGCAGAAGACCAAGCTGCCTAAGTTGTCTACTGTCTGCTTATTGTTGTTGATCTGGTGAGTACAACGAGCTTTCTATACGAAAGCCTTGGCCCTCTTTTTTGGTCTTTCTAACCCGCATTCTTAAATATCAGGGCCACATTCTCCTCCTGCTTCGCAACAGGAGCTCTCCAAACCTTTTCCGCGCAGAGCATAATCTTCGTGGTCCTATTCAACATCCTACTTTACATCACTTTAACGGCAGTATGCTTCTTCTGCTCCAGACCACCGCGAATCTTCAGCTCTCGACGCTGGTCCAAGCCCATATTTGAGCGCATGTCTCCGGAGGAAACTATTGCAGTTTGCTTTTGCGGACCAGCGAAGAGCACCGCACTTGGTATCCCGTTGCTCTACGCAATGTGGCAGCCAGTTGATCTCTTCATAAAAGCGAAGACATCGGTGCCGGTACTACTCTATACCACGGAGCAGATCTGCGTGGCGCATTTCTTCGTTCAGATGTTCCGGTGGTGGCATGCTAGAGTCATCGAGAAAGAGGATTTGGATGACTCTACGCGCGATGATGTTGAGATTGGTATGGCTGAAAATTTATGTGGGGATCACGCAGGACGTGTTCATGAGCGTACGACTATTTGATACCCGTTTAGAATATAATATTGTTTTCATTCCTCCGACGGTGAGGAGTCTTGGATTGTTTTTCTTCGATGTCATCGAGGCTTTGGATGTTCCAGTGATTGTTCAAGTCTCCTATTTAGAATAGCTAGGTTACATAACAACATTCAAAGCTCAGCGATCTCTTACTGTCTTGATGGGCCACGTACTGGACAATGAGCCTAGGCACTTTACGAGGATTACCTTTGAAAATAGCTGGCCAAAACAAACCGAAATCGGACTTATAAGTAAATTCAACCACACCCGGTGGTATGCATGTGTAGAATACATGGACATAGAGAATCACAAAGGGAATCACAAAAGAAACATTATGCAAAAATAACCTCCAAGAATGATGGAGAGCCAACTTGATCAAGAAAAATGTACAGAATAACCATGCAATGTGCGTAGAGATCGAAGTGGCTTATATCTCAGATATAGCTCACTTTGACTCCCATTCCGGCTGTAGCTTTGACCTTTTGCCAAGCGCCGTCTGTAATCCGTCGGATGCGATCGCGCACACCCTGCCGGCTCATCGCCATCGTAATTCCGATCAAGAAAAGTAGGATGCGCACTATTGACATGGGATTCCCAGACACAGTTCGGATAATGTGACGGAAGATGTTGCGCACGCCAGTGGCCACGGCCTGAGTTGGGCGACCCCGGGGTTCAGCCTTGTCCTGCTTTTTGACATTTTTGGAGCTGGATGATGAGACGGGAGCTCGTGACTTGCCATTTGGCGACTTGTCTGTCGGTTGTCTGGCTCCTTTGCCTTTGGGAGAACCATTTGTGCGGTTTTTCTCGATCCCATAGTCGACTTCGCTGGTATTGCGCTTATTTCCATTAGACTGTACTCGCGCAGCGGCTGCTGCTGCTGCTTCTTCGGCTTCACGACGTTCATCCTCTCGTTTCCGTTCAAGCTCTACATCTTTGGCTCGCTGTAGTTCGACTGCGCGCATTTCACCCCGCTCCTTCTCTTCCTTCAGGCCCTCGAGTGTCTGGAGGAAGAGTTCTTTGCGTTCTTCATCGAGGACTTCGCTCAAATTGATGAATTCGGTGGAGTATTCCCACTCGTCATTGCGGGGGAGGACGTGCAAGGTAAAGAGCTCGATAATCTTTACTCTGGCATTTAGATCTTTCGGAGTATCAGCTCCGCTTGTCGCGCGAATAGGGCGCTGCTCGTAATCATCAGAAGCATCGTGTAGGCGACCTGCAAGGTCGAGGTTGGGTTGTCCGTAGGAAGAGAGATAGGTCTCAAGGCGCTGTTGGTTCAGGGATTGCGAAGAGGAGTGGGTTAGAAGGAGGGTAGCACTAGGATCGCGTTGTCAGTACCTCGATTTAGGCAGGAAAGTGAGCTGATACTAACAGGTTGTAGACCACTTCGGGATCCACCGAACCCTCGTGGCCTTGGTATCCGACCTCGACCACAGTTTCCCAAATCGCACCTTCTCTGACTTGCGACGCAATTGATTTCCACTCCTTCTGACCAAATTGCTTCTTTCCCTCCTCTGCACCGAGATCGACTATTGCGCTAAGGAGGGTGATGTAGAGGTTCCACACCTTGATCCTCCACGTGCCAGCGGCCGTGGCAATCGGCGCAATAGGTGTTGAGCTGTCGCCATTTGTTTGCTGGTCCTCTGGTACTGAAGGCGTGATAATCGGTTGGATATTTGCGAGCGCTTCTGGTAAGCGTCGTGTGAGATACAGTTGGGAGGCTTTCTTGTATGTCTTGGAGCACAACTTTGTGGGGGAAGCTGAGGATGGGGCGTGAGAGCGCGACGACGCAGAGGGTCCGTTCGCCATTGGGGAGGCCGAGATGTAATAGGTCAAATTCGATCTTCAAAAAGTTGTATAAGCAGTAATTATAAGAGGGAAACCATTCAAGCTTGGAAGTAAAGCGTGTCGGGTCTGTGATCGGCTCTCTCGTTTTCCCTCGGCTCGTCCAAGTCCGGGGTCAGTCACGGGACTGGCCTGTGAGATCGTCTATGTAGCCTCAGGTAGGCTTGTTTACTCTCTCACTTCTCAATTCACGATTATTTTAGCTCCCTAGACAGGTTCAAAAAGAGGCGCTTCACTTCTATATTACTCTAGGCCAATTTTCCAAATTTTTCTGTTATTGCATCGCAGGTAACAGCCTGTGCTATTCCAATTGGACATAAACATCGCCAGGATGTTGCCTCGGTCATTTATACACTCTAACTGAGCTAACTCCTAGGGTTAAGATAGATATTGCTTGTGAAGCTATATGCTGTATTTCTGAAGCAATAGAGAATGTACTTTGAGAACCTGCGAAGGATTTCTTGACAAAAAGATGCATATTCAATCCTTGCTATCTATAGAGAACCAGAATCTGGTAAATGCTTCAAATTTTTATACATATTATATCACTATTTCCTCATCTATCTCTCTCTTCTTCTTTGCTCCTATCACAACTCTGGTCTATCAGACTCAACAGCGTAGACCAGTAAACTTTCAAGCTATATCATCCTGTCGACTGTCGACAACGTATCACCCCTTCTACAAACTACACGCAACGCAGTGCTCTTTGTGATCAATTAAACGCGGATACCTGCCTTCCTAATGCATACTCTTCTTTTTTCTAGCAATCAGTACTTCAACAAAGCCAACTCTTTCCTTTTCACCTCTTATCTTCATTCACTACGCTCATACTTCGGTGCTGTTCCCAACTTTGAACCAAGATGGATATCACGGCTGTCACCTTTCCCGATTGCCTATCCTCCATACTGAACGACATCTCCACCAGCTGCTTCGTGTCCGTAGACTTCGAGCTGTCTGGGGTGGCTTTCAAATCCAGTACACCAAAGTCCCGGCCCCAGACTGTGCAGGAACGATATGTGGAAGCCAAATTGGCTGCAGAGCGGTATCAGATTCTTCAAGTTGGGCTGACAACTTGTCATGAAGATAAGGAAAAAGGTACGGATTAACCCTAGTGCAAGATGTGTCCCGCTAACCATCTATAGCCACCTACACCCTGAAACCGTACAACATAAATCTGAGTCCAATCACCCAGCGTGAGATGGATTTGAATCGGGACTGGACATTCGGAAGCCGCTGTATGTCCGATATCTACAATATGTTGAGCATACGCTAATATCTCCCTGAACAGCAATGGAATTCTTGCTTGCTAACCACTTCAGCATTGACCACATGTGCACCTTCGGTGTTCGATACCTATCTCGAGAGGAAGAACAATTGGCAATCAGAAGAGCTGCAGAGAAATGCCAACGGAACCCTGTCCAAGTTGTGGATATTAAGAAAGACGATCATGAATCTCTGGAGTTCCTTGAGGCCGTTCGGATCAGTGTCAATGAGTGGCTGGCACAGGGCGAGGTAAGATGTTGTATCAAACGTTGATTTGAATACATCAATTGACATATATAGAAACGCCGCGAGTGGCTCAACATCCCGCCACCCAGCAGCATCCAGCTTGTTCCAGGACCCATACCTACCGGGCTGACTAGCATGCAGAAATGGCTGATACACCACCTTATCAGCGACGAATACCCCAACTTAACGTCGCGGGGTGCATCAACGTTCGTCCAGATCGAATTGCGGGACCCATGCAATGAGCAGTCTACCTTGGAGGCGAAATTGAAGGTCAAAAAGGAACGAATCCGGAAGCATATCGGGTTCCGCTGGATCGCAGAAGCGCTTGTGGGTGGAAGCCTGGACGAACTTGAAGCAGACGCTTTCCATCCTCTGATGAAGGTCATCGAGCAGCCGACTTTCGGAATCCAGCAGTTGTCAGACAAAGTGAAGAGTCGGCTCAAAGAGAACAGACCGATTCTAGTCGGCCACAACATGTTCTGCGATCTGCTCTTCTTCCACGCATGCTTCTTAGGTCCGTTGCCGAATACCCTCGCCGAGTTCCAGACCGCCATCCACGAGCTATTCCCCGTGCTCGCGGATACCAAGTACATGGCCACTCACGACTGCGGCTCTCTAAACCCTATGTCTTCGCTTGAAGATCTCAACACGACTTTAGCTGGAATAGAAAGCCCCAAGATAGGTAGGACATGAGTTATATCATTGACAGCAAGCGAGCACAGCTAATCATTTTGCAGAGATCGACCCTCGCTTTGCGAAGTACAAGTTCCGTAAGAGTACCCATGAGGCAGGATACGATAGCATGCTTGCCGCCATGGCCTTCATCAAACTGGCAGGCAATATACAACGCATCAAACGCCGGCCAACGACCACAGCACCCAGTTTGGTTGCCGGTATCATGGCACAGCCTAGCAACAACCAGGCTGTTACCAAGAAGGAATTCAACAACTTCTTTGATGTTGACACCGAGACAATCCCATTGATTCAAGCAGCCCAGATCGCTCAAGCTGGTACATCCCTAGCCGACACTGGTTCCGGGCGTATCACTCGTCTGGTCGATCAGGGCAAATTACTCCCGCGCCTCGGAGATGCCTTCTGGGATACCTACGGCAACATACTGCGGGTGTTCGGTACACAGGAGAGGATGGTGCAACTAGGAAGAGAGGTGCCAAAACAGGAAGAGCTGCTGGTGGAGATTTGAGGGGAGGTTTAGGTGTTGGTTCTGGAAATACTTGCGGAGAAGGAGAAATTAGAAAAGAATGAAGGTAAAATGGTAAAAATGGATTTCTATCAAAGCACACAGCCGTAAGACTAAGGGGATGTTCGCGGCAGCTATCTAACAGTACGCCTTGATTTTTTAAGAAGGTACCGCTAGCGAAAATTGGCCGCGATCTCAGGAGGAGCTCACTCTGAGCACCTTTAAATGATCAACCGGCCGTAGAGAACTGGACGCAGTGATGATAAGAGATGCTTGGAGAAGGGAAGAGAGTGGAAGTCGAATTTTGAAATTTAAAGCGCCCGGGCGGTGACTAATCCCAATCGGGCCTGGCGACAACGTGACCTGGTTGGATCTTTTTCTCGGGGAGACAAGACACCGATCAGCCCCAAACACATTGCCATTCCACTCTTGAACATGTCGTCAGGATCTAATGGTGCACGGCGCGTGGCCTCGCTATTGCGTATGTCCAATTGAACTTTTTGCCCGGATTCCTGATACTGACTCCGCGCGCAGGGCCATCAATAGTCGACTCCGGCGTGTGCAGAAGCTGTCAAGAGACCATTAGCCGCCGCAGCTATTCCTCGGCAGCACCAGCAATCGAATCGACCTCCGCATCAACAGCGGCCGACTCCGCCGTGAAGCCAGCCTACATCATCAACGCCGGTGTAGTCCTCTCCCGCCCTCCCCAAATCACCCGTGAACTCGAACCGTTCGAGAAAGCGTTCTTTTTCTACCAGAAACGACTGAATGAGCGTCTCGCCCTTCCCTTTACGAAATATTTCTACTTCAAACGCGGAACACCAGCCGACGAAGACTGGAAGAAGAAGATCCAGGAGCGCCGGACTGCCGCGCGTGATATCGGACATTACAACGCGTACGACAGCGATGCATGGAACGACGAGCTCCTGCTAGGAGCACAGGAGTCTGAGCCTGAACACCAGATTGAGGCTCTTGTCCAGGACGCAGAATCCACTGCCAATGCGACTTCCCAAGATACCAGCAAAAAGGAAGAAATTCCTCGGCCGTATCCTCGGATCACGGAGGCAGACAAGAAGAACGACCAAAAGAGTCTCGATCGTTTGCTTTCCCGTACTCTCTATCTCCTTGTTCAGTCCAAGGAGGGACACTGGAAGTTCCCCAGCTCGCCGGTAGAGTCGGGCGAGACCCTTCGCTTGGTGAGTGCTATACTTTTGAACCGCATTGAGTTTAGGAATCATACTAATACTATTTCTACTCTAGGCTGCTGAACGCACCCTCGCCCAGTCCGCCGGTGTCAACATGAACACCTGGATGGTCGGTTTCCACCCGGTCGGATGGCACTCCTTCAACCCCCGCCACTCCAAGAAGGCAGGCAACGAGATCGAGGTTCCCGGCAGCAAGATCTTCTTTTTGAAGTCTCGTATGATGGCCGGCCAGGCCGATCTGTCCGTCAACACCCAGGGCCTCAAGGACTTCAAGTGGCTCGCCAAGGAGGAGCTCCCGCAATACTTGAACACGCAATACTACAGCAACATCAAGAACATGCTGGCCGACCGTTAAGAGGTGATGGAAGCAGATGAAGGGAGCTGGGAAGGAGAACGCGAGGTTCAATGTTCTTCAGGAGATGAAAAGGCATACTTGTTCCGATCTTATAGCGCACCATTGGTGTCGCATTGCATATACTCTTATTGCGCATGCCATGTATAACTAGAATTTTCCTACACTGTCAAATCAAGTTCATTTCAGTTCAATATCGATGTTTATCTAATATTCCGCGGTATCGTCAACGCCCAACGCCATGCAATGTAAAACAGAAAATAAAAGGCTGTAATCGCCCAGATCTAACCCACAAGCACTTCATGCCATGTTGAACTTCTGTCCCTGGACAATAGGCTGGTCCTTGACCGACTTCCCCGCCAGATTCTTGCCGCACATGGCACAGGCTAGTATCGATATCAGCATATGCAACGAACAAAGGGCAAATAATACAGCAACATACCATTCCTCTGATAAGCGCACCGCTGGCAAAACTTCCTCCCTATCTCCGTCTTCACCTTGCAGTTATCACAAGACGAAGCATAAGCCGCATAAGGATTCTTCGCTTTCGCGCTGAGGAGCTTGCTCTGGAGGGAATGTCAGTATACAACTTATCCAGAATAGTGATAATTCTCCTTAATTCAAAGTATCAAACAGAAAATTCTGTAACATACCTTTCCGATTCCCGTGGCGCCTAGTGTCGGCTTCGCCTTTCCCTTGTCTGCGCCGCCACCGAGTGTACTAGACGGCGAGCCGTAGTACATGTCGTTCTTGCGCTTGACGCCAGGGGTGGCGAGCTCAGTGGCTTTGAGCTTCTTTTGGCATTTCGAGCAGACCATTTTGTGAGATGTGAAAGTGGGTGTTGATCGAGCGAAGGCTTGATGGCGAAAATGAAGATGATGTTGTCGCGGGTTTGCGCCACCGCCTGGTCTGCCAAGACGTTTTTGTCTACTTGCTTCTTCATGTTTTATGAGTGGCTTTTTTGGTTTATTGTGTTTTTCTAGGTTCTAGGGTGTTATTTGAGGCATACTGGAAATATGCTTCATACAATGTTTTGTTCAAAAAGGATTGCATTGCTATCATTCGCATCGTATTGGGTATCAACATTAAACGGTCGGTATACACATTAAAAGAAGTATCACTGTAATAGAAACTCTCACAAAGTCAAAATCATAGGAAATCAATCAGTAGACCTCAGCAGAATCAGACCTTAACATGAACCTTACTAGGTCGAGACATGGTGCGGGTGGGCCTGGTGCTGTGTTGAATGATCCACGTACGGAGGAATATCATATGGCTGTTGAATCTGAGGGTAGTGTCCCTCGGGGAACTGAGACTGATAATCAGGTGCGGGATACTTCGGCCCCTGGTCGAGGTTGTGCCATTTCGCACAACACAGGAGAAGACCAGTGTAAGTGCCGACCCAGAGCACGAACTGTACAATAGTTCTGGCGGCGTCCAGGTATATCGGCCAGTCATATGCAGAGGTAGGCATCAGGCTATAGCGAATGTAAATGATGGCCAGGGTGGAACACACAGCGCACCAGGAGATGGCAGCGGCGACGAGTGCCATAGCGGGCGACTGATAGCCAATTAGTTGGTGTATACCATAGAAACTATTGGAGTGAGATTCACCTTTGACCAGAAAGCATAGCTGCGAGCCTTGATCGCCAGGAAGATTCCCCAGGCGAGAATCTCCAATGACAGCAGCCAATAGATGATATACACCGCGACATTCAGCTGTGTCCAGGACCACTGCATATCGGCGTTGAGAGTGGAAACCACGCTTCGCACGTAAGAAGCAACACACATGCCCCATTCGGCAAGAGAGGCCACGAAAATAATACCGAGGAGGAGATAATGGATGGTGGTCACTGCCGCGTGTGGCTTGCCGGAGACTCTAATAAATCCCAGGAGGCGATGGATGAGGTTCCAGAAGACATAGAAGGTGAGGCAGATCGCAACGACTTTGAATAAGTCCCAGAGCATCAAGCTGATCAAATAGTACATCGTCACCTGCGCCTCAGCCACATATAGGGCTTCCCAGGCGATGATGTTTATTTGGCAGCTGTGACCCACTGGTTAGCGGATTGTTTATTTAGTCCAGATCTTTCCACATACCATATAGAGGAAATCAGAGCGCAAATGAGTGCTTTCAGCGGGAGACTACGATTTCTGATTCTGCATGCCCAAATGAGGAAGGCGACGAACGCGAGGAGGGAAATGATATCAAAGACAAATTGGGTGATAAAGAGAGGCTTGTATTCGTCCGGGTAGTAATGCTCCAGTGACAGCCAGGTCGTGTCGCTCCACGGATTATCGTCGACATAGCTGGAATAGCTTCCGCTGCCGCGTCGAGGCGCCATTTTTGCAATTTGTTTTGTTCTGCTTAGCTCTGGGGAAATCTAAGATCTAACAATTTCCCCAGATTTTACGAAATGGACGGCATTTAAATAAATGGATCAGGGGGCTCAAGCAAATCCTCCGCACGAGTGCAGTTGCTCGGATTGAGGCCAAGGGCCTTCAAATACGAAGCCAAGATGTCAATGGGGCTGCTTTGATTGGTCCAAAGCCCTGAGTTAGTCTTGGGAGGGCGAGCTCCAGGCCAAAATACGAGTTGGCTTCGCTTCTCGGGGGTTGGCCCCCTTTTTGGGACCTGCACTTCGCCCCGTGCATATTCGCATGCTAGCGCGGGGCGTATTCTTTGAGTTGGAATTCAAGGGAGAAAGGGATGAGACGTATTTGGTGTTAAGCGAGAAAGGCGAGAAAGGCGTAAGAATAGTGAAGTTGCGCCCGAAGATGCCAACACACACCGTTAAGGCGAAAGTACGAAGGAAAAGAAACAATCACAAGCCAAGGCCTTCTATAAAAAGAAACAGGTCAGCTGATTAGATTTTACTTCATCTTCATACTTCGTACAAGAGATATAGAAGAAGTGGACAATTTAGCAGAGGTTCCTTCTTCTATCCTATACTTACATCTCACTTACACTCACATCTTAGAATGTTGTACATCTGGTCCAGGATCCCCATGAAACATCCACGATTACCCTCTTCAGCCTCGTGCAGAACACCTAATTGGAGAGCGAAAACCGCAGTCGGGATAAAATAAAAACAGAAGCCTTTTTGCCCTTCCTGTAAGCTGTCAAACCACCGACCAGGGAAGATCCCTAGACAATTCTCAGCCCCCCCGAATCTGAGTTCCACCCAGTTCATGCGTCCTGCATTGTTCCGATCGATCCTCGATATGTTGAAGTATAATTTCTCCAGTATGGATGATGAAAATATTTCTCGACTGCATGTTCTTTCATTTTCAGCCCGGACAGCTGTCCACGGCACACATTCGCCCTATTCCTTGTTCTGTATGCCCCTTGTGTCCTTTGGGCCTAAAGGACCTTTCATGCTCCTCTTAGAAGCCCCGTCACATCGTGATGGATCCCCAGATGCATGGTGACCCGCCACTTGCGAACTGGCCCGCAGGCCATCTGTCGCCGAAGCTATGCAAGCACGCTTCTCGAGGGCCTCAAAGAAATCGACCATAAAGAACATGACTCTAGCGCGGCAGGGAGCCCAACAGCTTGGTTCAGTCCCCAGCACTCTGGTTCTGGCTTCCTTGATACGGCCATCCCCGGCCGGACATGAGCAGATCATCCCCTGAATTCCATTAGGGGGAAGCCGACATTTGGTCTCGCTATATAAGTACTGCGTAGTTCAAGCCATAATAATTGATTCAATCACCTTCTTTTTCTCTTTTTCTCATTCTCTTTACTTTCCTTTTGCTTTTTTTCGGTGTTCCCATTTCCAGGTCTGGCGCAACCCGCATTCGGCGTATCTCAATTCTCGACTGCATCATATCCCAAGATTTTTTTTTCTGCCTTCTATGCGTATGCATCGTGCATGATTTGCTTTGCTCGGATTAGTGCGCCTGCTTAAACTTCAGAGGCAAATGTTGTGACCCCAGCGTCATCGCTGAAGGATTTAAGAGTGATCAACTGCAGCTCATCCGGGGTATTCCTATTCTCGAGGCACCACACAGTGTGACTCTACAACTATTTTCCTTTTTCCCACCTATTAAGAACGGTGGAGACCCAATTCAAGAAATCCCAAAATCTCAAAATCAAAAATGCCTCCAGATGGTTCAACCTTCACGGCACTAAACCTGCCACCGACATTCGAACTACCCCAGTGCATGGAATACTTCACCCTCCGCGCAGGTCCAAACACAGACCTCTGGCGCAAACCACCCAACGGCGAAACCTCCACCGCCCCAATCGTCTTCACATCCCTCCGCCACGCCTTCGTCGTAGCAGAGGTGACCGTGAGCGCAGACTGGGAACTGGAATGGGACCAAGGCGGACTGGTAATATTCGCCGGCGCCGCGCCGCAATCCTTCTCCTCCGAAGTCGACGGACCGCGGGGCTTCCGCAACGCACCGCGCTCACCCTGCAAATGGGTCAAAGCCGGAATGGAGTTCTCGTCGGGAACGGTGAACGCGTCGTCGGTGAGCGCGACGGCCGATGGCGCGGACTGGTGTTTGTCGCCGCTGGCGCAGTCGGCTCAGGCCGGACTGGCTATCCACTCGCTGCGTATCAAGCTCGAGCGTGTCGGCCACGCGCTGTGGATTTGGTACCAGGTTCCGTCGGCGTCGCCGTTCGCGCTGTCGCCCGGTGCGGTGGGGAATACGTGGAAGAAGCTGCGCGAGGTGACGTGGTTCTTTTATGGGGTGGAGGATAAGTTTGTTCATGTTGGGGCTTATGCGAGTCGGCCGACGGGTCTGTCGCGGGCTGGTGCGATGTGGGATGATATGCATGCTTCTTTGGCGACGGGTTCGGCGGATGGGTTGGTGGTTGAGTTTGAGGATCTGGAAATTTTCTAGCTGGTGTGTCTTGCTCTCTTCTTGGTTTTTGGCTTGCTTTGATGCGCTTACACTTGGGGTTTGGGGCTTTCTTTTCGAGTCCTGGTGATACATATTCCCCATCAGCGTTTTGGTTTTATCGGTTTATCGAGCGATTATGGCATGTTTGGAGTCTTTCGTGATCGTTCTTGCAGGTCTTCTGTTAACATTGGTCTTATCTTATTCATATGAAGTATATTTATTGATGCACTTGAGCTTTTTCTTCCAGCAGGAGTGTGAGCATGTCGGCTGGGTGTATTAACGCGTGTATTGCTCTTCTCGCCTCAATGATGACTGGAGTCTAAGTCTCTTTTGATTACTGTGATTTCTATTCTTGTATTTCCCAAATTAAACAGAAGAAAAATAAGAATAACAGAAAAATAATTCAAGATTGATGTGATTTGGTAGTCGCCGATGTATATATTGAACCTCAAAAACCAAGCCTAGAGACAGTATATATATTGCTCAGTTGGACCTTTACCAAATTACAAAACCCCCCAATGTATGAACATATAAATCCACAAAAAGAAACATCCATGAGATCTCATTAATATCACCAAGATATACTTGATATTGTCACTAACTGAAAGCGGACTAGACCGGGTTCGTAGATATAAACGGGGAAGTTGCCGAGCATCAGAGCTTTACCCCAACCCCAAAATAGCGAATTCACAAAACACCTAGTTCGCAATGAAATATGACTTGCTTCACCTTCAATCTGCATGCTGCATGCAGAACCTCGATCTGTAGCCCTGGAATCCGAGGCTGATGTCACTTCACAGGTTGAGTCAGCTGACTACGGGAAAGCCGTTCCCGAGGTCCCGGAGCTAAGAATCTTGCGTCGAGGGTCTCAGGCTCATTAAGAACCGCCAGGACTGATTCTTTGGGATCAAATAGCTCGATCACATTGTGAAGGCTCTGTAGTTCACTCTCGCCGTTTATTGTAGGCCAATGGGTGGTAGTTCTGGCGTAGTTGCAAGTTGAAGAGCGGGTCGAATGCTGCAGGACCCGTAGCAACATCGGCTAGAGCGGGATATAACAAGCGCCAAAAAGACCAGCTGTTTGTTGTCAAGATCGAGCTAGGATCGCCCCGGGTTTATAGCTTTTAGCTTGTCTACGTGGAGTTCTGAGCTTGGGAGCAAAGTAACTCATTCAGGCGTTATACATACAATCTCACCCCATGGGGAAGAACTAGGAAAAGGAAAGAGAATATTATACGGCCGTCAGACGCAACACACAGAGTTTTTCGTTTGGCTCTTTGATAGGTTGGATGGTCGATGGGCCATATAGGACTCTATATGTACAGAAAGAAAAGTGTTGTAGATGACGCTGAAAGTAGTACATGGTAATACATCACGACCAAATACCCTCCCCGGCAGAAAAAGAGATTCTCTCAAAAAACCCAAAATCCTTGTTTTGATGACATTTTTCCAAGAATCCGAAAACCCGAGTCGTAGATAATTTAGACGTACTTGCACATCATGGCAACCATGAGATCGAAGAGACCCATGGCCTCGACGAAGGCAAAGCCGAGAATGGCGTAGGAGAAGAGCTGGCCACGGAGGGCAGGGTTGCGGGAGACACTCATGAGGAGAGCGGCGAAGACGAGACCGATACCGATACCGGCACCACCGAGACCGATGGCGGCGGAACCCATACCGATGTTCTTGGAGACCTCAACCATGGCGGAGGCGACCTCGGAGGAGTACTGGCGGCGGGCGGCAGTCTGGAAAGCCTTGGCCTGGAGGAGAGTGGGCGACTGGATGCGCTTGGGGGCACCGAAGGCGGGGGCCTTCTGGGTGAAGGTGCGCTTGGTGGCAGCGTTGAGCTGGAAGCGGGCAGCAGGGCGGGCGACCTTGGAGGTCTGGGCCATGACCGAGGCCATGCGGGAGGCGAAGACACGAGAGGTGGCCATTGCGATGGATGGGTTTATAGAATTATAGGGTGGGTGGAAGAGAGGAGAAAGAAAGAAAGAGGAGAGAGATGGACTTTTCAGGGAGAAAAAGCTGGGAAACTACGGGAGACGGCACTCACTAGGACATAAATACTCTACGGCCAAATTTTCGCCCGTCCGCCTCCTAGTCGGTCTTAGTGTCTGTGTAAGGTAAGAAAAAAGCCCTAAGTTGTGCGTGGACTGATACGCAGAATACACCGTGAGGAATGCTGGGGGTGCGTATGGGCGTGTAATGGGCATTCTTACCGCGTATTGCGACCTGTCGGGATCAGTCGGGTATTGTTCCAACTGGGTCCACTGGGTGTGATTCGTCGAAGGGTATGGGTCTGAGTTATCTATATCCCCTGCATGGGGTTTCAAGGTTTAGCGGTATACCTAGCATGTACATGGAATATATTGGACCTAGGGAGTACGGTGTACGGATACCAATTGTAGAATCGAATTGCACAAAGGGATAACATGAGAAGAAAATGGAAATACAAGTTGTAATTATAAAATAATAAAATCGTAAAATCAAAATCACAATAATCCAACCCTTGCGGTGGATCTTAAGCATGTTCCAATCTGGTGGGTCGATCCACCTCCAAGCTCCTCTCCTCCAATCATAATCCTCTCGGGCCCACTATCTCTCTTGGATTTGTTCCCGGCGTCACCCAAACCGGCCCGACTCGGATTCCAGGTCCACCAACTACGGAGTCACTGGGCAACCACCGGCTGAAAGGAGCCAAATAATGTGGATGAGGTGGATATCGTCTCCCCCTTCGTCCCTCGGGAATCCACCTCACCGAGTGGTCATATTTGGAAAATACGTAATTCTGTACGGATCCGGTACTCCGAACAGCTTCGGTATCCTCCCCAGGCTTGCCGAGGGAGGTAAAAGCCATGCATCGGACCTGCAGGAGTTGGATTCTTAAGTAGATATATAGCAGGGGGGGACGAGGCAGAAGATTGGAAACGCCATAAGCAAGGAAACGAAAACCAAAAAAACCAAAACATAACCAAAACCCGGTTGTCGTGTCCTTGCTTTCGCAGCTCCACTTCTTGGATTTACGATCCGCCGTAATCCGGCTATCGCAGTGAAATCTGGTCTTTCCGGATTGCCCTAAAGAAGATTACAGAACCTTTGCAGTAACGGTAAACGGCCATTCAGCCATTTGAACGGGGTGCGAGACCCTTATATAGACCGACCTACCCCCGTCGCATCTGCACCGAATTCAAGCATCCCAAACGGGCTAACCAGAGGCTCTTCGCGTTTCTCCCGGAAATTCGATTTTTGGGAATTTCGGTTGGTCGCAGCTTGGCGGACCCACACAAGCTCGATTCAGGGTGCAGTTACGTGTTCTAGCTATCAACGCGGTTGATATACATATAACATACAACATAGGAATTGGAAATAATAATGGTTACAGTTATTGCAATTGCAATTGACTACAGCAATTGAGTAAAGAAGAAGAAGAAAAAGAATAAGAACAGAACTGTTGTATAAGTGAAGACGGCCCCGTCCGGGTGTAATCGGGTAAATACCAATACGGTACGGTAATACTCAACTCGGCGACTCATCAACTCATCATTGACCTGCCCGTGAGGTCATGCGAGAGGCCACTTGGCATCGTATATTGTATAGCCTCAGCGCCTGTACACTCGTGTACGCAGTATTGCCGTAATGGCATAAGACACACACAGTATCCATAGCTTAGTCTCTTTCTCAAACTATATCCACTCTCTCTATTCTAACATAAGAGCAAATGTGCCCCCCGGTGGTTAGAACTCGTAGTCAACTCTTCCTTCCCTTGAACCGCACAACCGCACTCACGCCCTCGGCTGAAAAAGAAACACATGCACCGACGGCCCTAGCGCCAGCGCTACTCGCTACTCGCAGCTGATGCGCTGGACAGCGCATAAGCCATTATTCTTCCGTCGATATAGTTATCCGCCCCCACGGATTCAAAGCCCGCGCAGTACTACTACATACCCAAATCACCAAATATATTCCCATAACCCAACGCGAGCCTCGAGAACGAAACCATGAGCCGCGGCTTATGATCCCAGGAACGACAATCTACCGCGCTCACTTTCCACGCCCTCCCGGATCTGCCCGAAAACATCGACTCTCGCACCGACTGTCTGGCCTGCACACGTCCCTCGATCAACGCGGTCTGATCCCAGCAACCACACCGAGTACGAAACACGTTTCAGGCACGATCCAGGCCGTAACAACAGCCACCTCAGGCTCGCGCTCACGCTGTCAGCGAAACACACGTCAATATTCACCGCCCCCGCCACAGACGGCCCTGGTGTCTTGCCCACAACATATGTAGACCGGTCATTGCGTATATCGTAGCCTTCGACGCGTTCCGTCACAGACCCACGTTCCTGTCCCCTATCTTCAAGCTGCGGATATATGTACATGCTGGTATGTTGTACCAGACCGGCCAGATCCGGTACCGGGCAGTGGGGATTCCGGCGCGAAGCGAAATGCTTCCTGTAGCTGTAGATTGATTTTGTTGGGAGCTAGCTGCTCCTGCTCGACGGATACGGATGCATCGGATACCGAGGGTATTCCGAGTCAATGCCGTGAGATGCGTCAGTCTCATCCCGGAAAGGGAATATGAACCAGCGCGTTTACTGGAAATTATTGTTTGTGTGTTTCATCTTTCCGGGATTGAAAACATTGGTTGCTGGTCGCGTGTACAACGTACATGTTTGCCTCGGCATTGTTAATTGGCAATGCTATGGATGGCGGAGATGCATTATTTCAGGTTGCGAACGATCTATCCTCTTAAGCATTCTATATGATATAGTTACACACTCTAAGTCAGTCTACGGAGTAGGTTGTAGGTAGTAATTCGTGCTTTGGAGCTGTGCACATGACCGTTCTTCAGCCACAGATAAGATCATCGGAATCCACTAGCTATACGCCATTAGGACTAGTTTTCGATCTGCGCGATCGAGATCCGACACCGTCAGTCTTGAGCTCTACAACTCAGAGGGATTTCCCAGCAGAGTTCCGGTGAATAAACTGACTGTAGCGTAGATAACAGGTATATAAAAAGTTGTTGGATGCCTAGTCAAATTGCAGCTTGAAATAATCCATGTTGAATTGATAAATTCAAGAGCTATATAGGCTTATTCATTAGATTGAAGTTCTCCCTAATAAGGGCTAAAGCCAGTTAAAGAAAGCGAGCAAGTATTAAACGGAAAGCAAGCCAGCATCTGCATCCTAAGAATCAGCCATAGAACTCTTCAGAGCACTAGTCAGGTCCACATGGAAGAAAGGCCGGTTGATTCCATCAACGGCCGCCATACAAGTACCGACACCAGATCGACCGCGACGACGATGGGTATTAACCTTCGTACTCTCACCAGTCTGCACAACCTGGATATTATCCTCAGTGACATCCATCACCGACGAGGCACTGCTCTCCTGCACATTCAGGCCAACTTCCAAGTCCTTTGACCATTCCTCCAACCCGCCGACTTGAGACTGAGTTACTAACGCAGGTAGTCCGCCATCCAATATCTCCGCAACATTAAAGATCGACCTCTGGCATCGAGGACCTGTCCCATCTGAGACGGTGGGGAACCCGAAGCCGGCGGCTGCGAGAGCACGCTTCGTCCATTTGTTGTGGATGTTCGCAAAGTGCCACTGCACGCTGTCTGGGGATGCCCAACGGTCAAGCTGGTTGCGGACGTCGATGAGGTTCTGCACGGATGTGACGTCTACGTTGTTGACGGCGGCGAAATCGAGAATTATAGCGCGCAGAGTTGGGAGTGGGGAAGTGGGTGCTTCCTCCGACAGAAGAAGTTTGCGTTCGGCGCGGGTTGGACCAGGGTCGTTCCAGGGTCTGTCGCCTGTTGTTTCCCATGCTTGTGGGTTTGTGCGCCGGGTCGCTTTGAAGATGTGGCTGACTAGGTGGTCTGTGTAGTGGTTTGCATTGGGGTAGTTGAATCCTTCGGAGACTCTGTAGATGAAGATTCCTGGGGCTGGCTGGTGGATCTTGATTCGGGGGTTTGTGCCACCGTCATGCTCGGTTGGGAGGTAGATTCTTCGAGATCCTTCGGTATCATCTTCGAATTCTGTGTTTGGGTCCCCCTGGGATGCGTTGAGGATATGGTCACCCACGACTGAATGGACCTGAATGTATCCCAGGAATTGACCCCGGGCTTTGGCAAGTCGGAAAAGGAGTACTGCTAGTGAGACGGCGATTGTGCAGTAAATTCCGGTCTCGATGGTTGAGAATATGATCACGATAACGCCCATGAAGAAGATGAGTGCGTCAATTGGAGATACACGCCAGAATTGATAGGTGATACGCGGCGGTGTAACGAGATCTCCTACTGCGTGGATGATCACGGCCGACAAGGACGATTTGGGAATGAAGAAGAACAAGGCAGGCAGCGCATAAATGGCAAGAAGGACGACAACGGCAGTGATCACACCCGCGAGGGGAGTTCGTACGCCGCACTTTGCTTTGATAGCAGTTCGGGAGAATGAACCTGTAGCTGGGTATGCACCCAAGAACGGACCGAGTAGGTTCGATATGCCAATTGCAATAAACTCCTGCGATGGGTCAATGGTATAGTTGTTGACACGACCGAATGATTTCGAGATAGCAATATGCTCAATCAGCAGAACAATCACAGCCGCAGGGAGCTCACCAAGAAATGCCTTGATAATTGGAATATCTATTTTGGGAACTCCTGCAGCCTTGAATCCGCGGGGGACATTACCGAGTAGCTTGAAGGCAGGATGGTCGCGTCGATGGAGATTGACCGCAGCGCTGATCATGGTGTAGAAGAGAACGACAAAGGCAGTGCGCAATGTCGACAGAAAGAAGAACAGCTTGGCCTTGTGGGGCTGCTTCCTCGTTCCGTAGTTGCACGCAGACCGTATACCATATAACATTGCCAACGCTGTGAGACCCATAGCAGCGTCCATCCGAGCGGATGGGAGATGCTTCAGCGTATCAATGATGATCTTATAGGTTGCCCCACGCGTAGAGAAATGCGCTTTCTCCCCGAGGACTGTCTTCACTTGACCTGCACAAACATTGATGGCGGACCCAGTCATGAAAGCGGTGATAGCAGGAAGGGGAATGAAGTCGACGATGAAGCCAAGACGCAGCAATCCGAGGAATAACACGATCGCACCGCAAATGATGGCCAGAGCGGAAGCAAGGACCGGTGGAGATATTTCGGGGTGAACTGCTTGAACCCTGATGATGATTGAACCCATGAGCGTAGACATGACCGCCACGGGCTGAGAGTGTTAGGTGTTTGTTTCCCAGGAAAGAACGGACTGATCCTACCCCAATAGTGATGTCCTTGGACGTTGCGAAGAACCAATAGATCAAGACCCCCATGAACGAAGAATAGAGACCGTACTCTGGGGGCAGCTTGGCTAGCTCAGCGTATGCCATACCCTGTGGAGTGACCACGGCGCCAACAGTAATGCCTGTCAAGAGCTGCAGATTAGTATCTGTATTTGACTATTCAAATGGAGTTTCTCACCTGCCACGAGATCCCCAATCAGCCATTGCACGTTGTAATACCCGATCCAATGGAGGAAAGGAAAGAGGCCCCAAACGTAGCGACGAACTTGAGGAGCGGTAGGTGTATGACCTCGAAACCAGTCGCCCACCGTAGGCTCACACTCGTAATAGCCATAAGTCCTGGTGTCATCTCCGACGACCGAGGGAATTGGACTCAAATCAATACGTAAAAGCTTTGCGAAAGCGTGACCGACTCGAGTCGAGATAGTCTCCGCCATTGTTGCGTCGGGTCTTTTCCGGCTCTTTGTAGTCTAGAGGGTCACAACCAGCGGCTCGCCAGATTGCTATAGAGAAGAGGAGTTGAAGAAGAAAGAAGAAAAGGGGAATGGCTAGTAATGATAGCCATATTGCGTCCATAAGGCCCGAACCATAGGGCTGATGGCTCATATACTTCGGTACGCGATGTCGTGCTTTTAGTGTTGATTGACCAAAACAATTGACTCTGACCAATCACAGCAGGTCTTGATAGTAGGTCATTCTCACGTCAGATGTGGGAGTTGACAGTCACTCTGGAGAGAAATAATAGGAGAGAATAAAATGTGGGAGATCAGTAGGAAAGCGTCGATCAAATTCTCGTAGGGCTGACCGCTTGGACCCACCCCGGATAGGGCTGATCTCTGATTTACATGTTGTATGTTATGTTGTATGTTCTGGAGCATGTATTATAGTCTTATGCACTTATTCCTCGATTAACTCTGCTGCCTGGAATTAGTTGCGTGTCAATTATGTGCCTTCGGTGTGGGACTTCTTGTGGAACGTGCTATCACCCCTTTGTCCCCATCGCATTCGACCTATAATACTCTCCAGCCTTCCTGAATTCCCCGAGAATATGAATTGCCCCTATATACTCCGTGGTCGACAGTTCTGTGCCTGTGGCGAAGGTGGAGAGAAGCGGGTACCTGAGCTACCCCACAAACATGGAATGGCTTCCTTTTCGGGTTAGCCTTGCCAGTTTGGGTTTAGCGTCAAAACACCTCCTGGTCGGACCGGGAGCTCCTTTGCTGAGTAAGGATCCTTGCATTTTCGCCGGTCCGGGATATTCAGCTATTCCTCCGCTGGTAGTACATACAAACAACATAATTTGAGCGGCCACTTGCCTTCACCATTGCAACCGGCCATATCTAACCACGATACTCTGGTGATATTGATATCCCCATCAGAAACCAATGCTCCTCGTTGTCAGAATTCATAAGCTCGTGGACAAGTCTCTCATACATGGCAAGGCTCCTTCCGACTTTAGAAATACCTGTACTGCGTCTAATATTCACGAGGATCTTGCAAACCACGGAGGGTGAAGAACAAATCTGGCTCTGTGACAAAAGATGGCCTATCAAAACTAATATCTGCTCCGTAATGACAAGAGTTGACTAACGATCTTGGCTAAAGTTGGGGCCCCAGCCCCGGATTTATGGGTTGACCAAGCACCAGAAACGGCCTACCCACCTAGGTGGGCTACGGGTCATGAGCTAAGGCGTACATTAGCATGGTTCCCGCGGCGTTGATCTTCAATGCCGCCATGGAATGGTTTAAAGGGGTTTCGGTTCCACTTGTTGTCTCATCGACCCGCGACAATTACAGCCGCATTCCATGCATAAGAGAGACTATTTCCATCGTCCTTCAGAACGATAGCATCTTGTCCTCAGCGAGTCTTGTGTCTCACAAGTGGGAGTTTGACCATACCCTTGAGTCCCTGATTGCCAAGCGTATGCTCAAACGATGCGGAGACCTCTTGGTCTCGAAAGCACGGGTGATCCTGAGTATCCACTAGCTCAAGAGCGGCTGCTGCTTATATGGTACTAATGCACGAGAAACTCAATGTATAGTCGGGCCGTCTGTTCTTATGGACACTGGGGCTCCGGTTGAAGTATGGCTGTTAGTTGTGCAGTTGATGTCGCTAGCCTGGCTGAAAGCTCATTTCCCTGAGAAATGACACTGCTCAGTATAAAGAAGTGGATGGCCGCCGTTGGTGACTTTGATGCACTGCCTCTTGGATCCCCATCCATCCCGTTGGATCTCAGGCGATGACTTCTTTCATTTTTTAGTCTTGATTCTTTTTCAATCATAACATTATACACAGACCCTAGGGAAATACCTCGGCCCTGAAGACGAGGCAGTGTTTGATATGAAAGGGTGTTTGGAAAGAAGAGAAGAGGAGGAAGTAGCTATTTGTGGCTGATGGCCTTGATATTTGTATCGTTTTCTAGTACATATGGTCAGGTAGCTTCTACATCTTTGCTAGTTATACACAATAATTATTCGTTGTCCCGTCTAAACATTATGCCAAGAGGAAAATTAACCTTCGTTCTCTGACCGCATCGTACCTTCCCAAATAGGCAGCTGAGCACTTGGGCTAGACTTACCTAATAAATGCCTAATGAGGGAAAGCCCTAATTATGTTGGTCTGAGTGTAAGCATAGACATTAGTGAGGAACTTGCTCAATAGGTTAAAATTAGTCGATATGGAGACACCTGGTATAAGCATTCGGTATCAAAACCAACCTCATATTTATATATCGTATACAAGCTCCCCTTAATCTTCCGCCTCCGCATATACTCCACTAACCAGACTTGATTTTACCTAGGCAACGATAGCCGATAATTCCCCCCCGGGAGGAGACTAGTGGGGTTTGAAAAGGAGAACAAGACCAACACTCGGGTTCAATCTGGTCCAACTCCTCCGTATACTATTTTTACTCCGTTAGATTGGCCTCTCCTGCGGAGTCCGCTTCGGGACCGGGAAGCCGACCACACCCGCGTATATATATCTGCTGGGACGAACTACGGAGTAGACGAAAGTCGGTGGAATACAAAAGTTCAGTCTTCCTAGGAACTGCAGAAAGCTCAGGCCAGTGCAGATTACTGCAGCTATGTGCTTGTGCTTTGAGCCGGAAAAGCGGCTTCGGAGGCCCAAGCTTAGGGAGGTCGCACGCAGCACGCAATGCACGAGAGCTACTAGTGTGAGGCACGAGCTTTTGCGAAATCTGTAGATTCCGGATCCTTGAAATTGGGCGCTGCGTCGTACGGAGAAATAATAGAATGGCGATCCGTAGTGTTCCGCATATATGGGCCCTGAGCCAGAGAAAAAAAAACATCAGCCAATCCGTGGAGAAACTATTGAAAATGGAACATCCACCATATGTTGTCCTTTTATTTTGGGGATCACTGCAATAATGACTCAAGGACCATATGACAGGTGGATAAGAACCTTGCGGCCTGCCATTGGCGCCGGTTTATCAATTGGGGGTCGACGCTTTTTTAGCGCCCAATTCGGGTTCGATTGACGGGGTTGTCGTTTGGACTGTGCCACCAGAAGGAGGGGAAACGAGGCAGATGTTGTATCAAGATAGTCCACCGACTGTATATCATACGGTTGCACCGCCAGAAGAAGCAAAAAGCGAGAAGGTCAAACAATAAACCTCGGCCAGCTTCACCGCATATTGGAAGTGGAGAGCCGGATGAAAGAGCGCGCAAAGTACGAGCGGCCATTGGACGTCGAGCTCCAGCGATGCTCCAGAGGTGAAAGACGAAAAGACCAAAGAGGAAAGGCGCCATGTAGTCACTATGCCAACTGTTTCCCCACTGTGAGCTGTGCCGTGACGGGCCTTTTTTTTTTTGTACATTTTGGGCTGAGATTTTTTTCTGCCTTTTTCCCCTCCTCCCATACTCTCACAATAATCCATTGCCCTTTTGCTCTGTGAGCTTGTGTTTTCTGTACACGATAAATCTAGCGTTAAATCTTTGCTGGTCAAATTGTGAAAAACCCCCAATCTCCTAATATCCCATCCATCATCTTTTTACGACATTACGACCTTGAAACGAAATAAACCATGGCCAGCGTGCAAGAGCCACTGATCCCGGAAAGCCATGTGCTGCCAACAGATGCACCAGTTGAACCAATTTCTTTCTCAGATGAGAAATCCACTGCCAGCGCGACCAAGGCAGATCTGAGCGAATCGACTGCCTCGCTCGACTCCACAGCACCACAATCCAAAGATGCAACCCAACCCGAGGTCCCCTTGACCGCCGCGGAAAGGAAGAAGGCCAAGAAGGCAAAGAAGAAGCAGCAAAAGAGACAGGAGAGTATTAGCTCCCTGGCTGCTTCGACGCGAGAAAATTCTGCCGAGCCCGTGGAGGAATCACCAGTCGAAGCTCCCAAGGCAGCTGCGCCCGCTGCCGAGCCAGTGGTGGAGGAAAAGCCTGTCGCTTCCACCAATGTAGAACCCGAGGTTGCTGAGCCTATCACGGACGAGCTAAAGACTGCCGAGGCCGTTCCTGAAGTCGCCGCCGAGCCGATCGCCGAAGAGCCTCCCGCGGCAGAAATCAAGACTGTCGAGGAGGAGCCTACCACCGAAGAGAAGCCTACCATCGAGGAAACGGCTACCGAGGCCACTTCCGCTGAGGCTGCCGTTGAGCAGCCTGCCGAAGCTGTCGTGGAAGAATCCAAGGCGGTGGAGGATATCACTGAACCTACCAAGGAAGAGTCAGAGACTGTCGAGGCCGTTCCTGAAGCTGCCAAGGAAGAGACTGCCACTGAAACTGCCGTGGAAGAATCAAAACCCGTCGACACTACTCCTGAAACCATCGCAGAGCCTGTCGTCGAAGAGACTCCCGCCATGGAGGAATCGAAGACTGTGGAAGCTGTTCCTGAAATCGCCCAGGCGCCCGCTGTCGAAGAATCCAAGGCTGAGGAAGTTTCCGAGCCTACCACTGAAGCTGCCACGGAAGAAAAGACTACCGAGGCTGTCGCAGAGCCTATCGTCGAAGAGACTCCAGCTGTTTCAGAATCCAAGGCCGAGGAGGCTATTCCTGAAATCGCCCAGGAGACTCCCGTCGAAGAACCCAAGGTTGAGGTTGCCGATCTAATCGAGACGCCTGCCACTGAAGAAAAGGCCGTCGAAGAAACTCCCGCCGTGGAGGAATCCAAGACCGAGGAGGTTGTTCCTGAAATTGCACAGGAGTCGCCCGCCGTTGAGGAATCGAAGCCTTCCGCAGAAACAGCCGAAAACGCCACAGAAGAAAAGGCCATCGAGGCCGTCCCCGAGACTGTCACCGAAAAGACCCCTAGCGCTGAAGAATCCCAGGCTGAGGTTGCTGAGCCCATCACCGAGGAGAAGCCTGCCGTGGAAGAAAAGGCTGTCGAGGACGCTCCTGTTGCTGTCGCAGAGCTTGTCGAAGAAACTCCCGCCGTGGAAGAATCCAAGACCGAAGAGGTTGCTACACCTGCTGAAGAAAAGGCTGTCGAGACCGCCTCCGAAACCCCCGCTGTGGAAGAATCCAAGGCCGAGGAGCCTATTCCTGAAATCGTCCAGGAGTCGCCCGCAGTTGAAGAATCGAAGCCTGTCATAGAAACCACCGCAGAGGAAAAGACTGGCGAAGTCGTCCCCGAGACTGTCGCCGAGGAGACCCCCACCGCTGAAGCTGTCTTGGAAGAATCAAAGCCCGTTGAGACCATTTCTGAGACTGTCGCCGAGCCTGCTGTGGAAGAATCTAAGGCTGAGGAGGTTGCTACACCTGCTAGCGAAGAAAAAGCTGTCGAGACCGCCTCCGAAACCCCCGCTGTGGAAGAATCTAAGGCCGTCGAGGTTGCTGAACCTACCACTGAGGAGAAGCCCATTCCTGAGGAAACGGCTGTCGAGGCTACCCCTGAAACTGTTGCAGAAACTGTCATCGAAGAAACTCCCGCCGTGGAAGAATCCAAGCCCGTCGAGGCTGCCCCTGAAATCGCCCAGGAGACACCCGCAGTTGAGGAATCCAAGGTCGAGGAGGTTGCTGAGCCTATTACCAAGGAAGAGCCTACTACTGAAGAAAAGACCACCGAGGCTGCTCCTGAAACTGTCGCAGAGGCTATCACCGAAGAAAAGCCCACCGCTGAATCCGCCACAGAAGAGTCGAAGCCCGCCGAGTCTGTTGCCGAAACCGTTGCTGAACCGGTTGTCGAGGAGACTCCCGCCGCTGAAGCTGCCGTGGAAGAATCCAAGCCCGTCGAGGCTATTCCTGAGACTATCGCAGAGCCTATCGTCGAAGAAACTCCCGCCGTGGACGAATCCAAAACTGTCGAGGCTACCCCCGAGACCGTTCAAGAGACCCCCGTAGTCGAAGAATCCAAGGTTGAGGAGGTTGCTGAGCCTCTCGCCGCGGAAAAGGCCGTCGATGCTGCTCCCGAAGCTGTCGAAGAAACCCCCGCGGTGGAAGAATCCACCATTGTCGTCCCTGAAACCGTCCAGGATACCCCCGCCACCGAAGCAGCCGTGGAAGAGTCCAAGCCTGCCGAGGAGCCAGTAACCGAGAAGGCTGTCCAGGAACCGACTGTGGAGGTGGAGGCCGAGAACAGTGCTGACACCACCGTTGCTGTTCCAGAAATTGCTTCAGAGGCAACTGCTGTGGAGCCGACTGTCGAGGTTTCCGAGCCTACCAAGGAGGTGGCTGAAGAGACTCCCGTTGAGCAACCTGTCACTGAGGAATCGACTGCTGAGCCAATCAAGGAGACCGAGATTGCTGAGCCCATTCCCGAGCAGACTGTCGATGCTGTCAAGGAATCTGCTGTCGAGGAGCCCACTGAGGTTGCTGCCGTGGAGACAACCACCACTGAGCCCACCACCGAAGCAATTGAAGAGCCTGCCACCGTTGTCGCCGAGGAGGCCACTGCTGAGAAGGCTCAGGAGCCTATTGAGGTCGAGTCTGTCAAGGAGACCACCGAACAGGCCGCAGCAGAGGAACCAGTTGTGGCGGAGCCTGTTGTTGAAACCACTAAGGAATTGACTCCTGAGGAGTCTCCCGTTGTTGAGACCGCCATTGCTGAGGCTGCTGCTGCCGCTACTCTCACTGAGGAGTCTGTCGCTGCTTCCGAGACCACTGAAACCGCCGCCATTCCCGCAGCTGCTGCCGCTGCTCATGTCACTGAGGAATCTACTGCTACTATTCCTCAGGCTGCCGCCGCCATTGTTGAGGAAAACGCCACTCCTATTGAGTCTGTGCAAGAACCAGTGGAGGAGACTGTCCCCGCTGAAACTGCCAAGGAAGTCGCCGTTGAGCAGCCGGAAGCTACCAAGCCTGAGGAAGTAACCGAGCAGACAACCGAAGAGCTCGTTGCTGACAAGGCCATCGAAGAGCCCGTTGCTGAGACCTCTGCCCCAGAGCCGGTGGTGGAAGAGACTCCCGTTGAGTCCGCCAAGGAACTTATCGTCGAGGAGCCCATCAAGTCTTCCACCGAGGCTCCTACCGTCGCTGATGTTACTGCAGACGAGGCCGAGAAGGTCGAGAAGAAGCAACCCGAGATTGAAGGTGTTGCTGAGCCAGTCGTCTCTGAGCAGACCGAGACTGCTGCCGCTGCCACTGTTGAAGAGCCTGTTTCTCAAAACGCTGAGCCTGCTGTCGCCGAAGAGAAGCCCGTGGATGAGCCAGTCACTGTTTCAGAGGCTGTTGAAGTTGCTGCCGCTGCTGCGGCCGTGGCCGTGGCCGAGGCTGTCATTGCCGAGCCCGCTGTTGCTGAAACTCCCGTTGTCGAAGAAAAGACCATCGATGAGCCAATTGCTGTTCTCGAAACCGCAGCTGAGTCTACTGCTGAGTCTGTCCCCGAACAGACTCCCGAGGTGGCACCCGTTGTTGAAGAATCTGCTACTGAGGCACCAGCTACTGATAAGGCCGAGGATGTGACTGAGCCCGTCATTGTTGAGCCCACTATCCAGGCTATTGAAGTTGCTGAAGTACCAGTCGTGGAGGAGCAGGTTACCGAAGAGCCTGTGAAGGTTGAAGAGCCCGTTGAAGCTGCTGCTCCCGCGGAGCAAACTCCCGAGGCAGCTCCAGTGGAGGAATCTACTAAGGAGCTCGAGCCCGAGACAACTGTGCTGGAGGAAGTTGTCATCGAGCAGCCCGCCGTCGTTGCTGAAGAGGCTGCAGCCGAAGCGCCAGTTGTTGCTGAGGTTGTCGAAGAGCCCGTACAAGAGGATGCCAACGCTGAGGTCCTAGAACAGTCTACTTTTGTCGTGGAGACCATTTCTGCAAATGAGGTCGATGTTGTGGCTATTTCTGAGTCGATTTCCTATGCAGACGAGCCCGAGATTGTCGCTGAGACATCTGATGTGAAGGAGTCGATTCAGCCCTCCACCTCTGATATCGAAACATCGGCACCAACTGAGCCCGAAGCCAAGCAAGAAGAGACCGCTAGGTCCGCCTCTGACGAAGCCACCGAGGATACTGGCATCAGCACCGAGATTCTTGGTGCTGGTGCTGCTGTCGCTGCCGCCATTGCTGGCGCCAGCGTGGCCGCTGTTGCTCACCACGAATCCGAGACTGCAGCAGAGACCAATGCAGACAAGGAATCCGTTCCGAAGGCTGAGACCCAGCCCCAGGTTCCCGCAGCAGATGCACAGTCCACAGACGGTAAGCCAACACCGTTCTATACTTCATACCAACCGTCTGCCATATCTCTCGAAACTGATCCCGCTCTTGCAGCTCTTGCTGGCGACCGCGAAGCCCTTCTTAGCAAGCTCAACCAACCCTCTACAGACCAACTGCCCACGGCTACCCAGCAACCATCGGTCGCGACAGTCGAAAGTGCCACCGAGTCCCAGCCTGCCGCCGAGGCCAGCAAAGGAATTACCGAACCCGCTGCAAATGCATCCGACGCTCAGCCTGATGCCGACAATGCGCTTACACCAAAGAATAATGATGAGGATGCTCGCTCGTCGAGTCAGAACCGGTCAGTGACTGCTGTTTCTCTAAATGGTGCACCTGACAGCTGGCTCAAAGCAATCCTGCGCACTGTCTTTGTGAATTTCTTTGGGGCCATCTTTTCACCTTTCCGTCGCCACAAGGCCTCCAATTAGACTGAATCTTGTGTTTTCCCGTGCTTTGTCTTCTAGCCAACTGTTTTTATTTCCTTGTGTCTCTCTCCTATCTCTCACTGTTGAAGAAATTTGTGGTCATGATGCAAATTCTGTTTTCAAGCTGATTAACTGACGCTCGATCAGCAATTTGTTTTTCATTGCGATTTTTGCCATGCCCTTTCTCGCGATCTTCTGGGGTTATTCTTGAGCCGTCGATTCTCGATACTGCCGGAGGCGGTGGCGGTGACGGTCACGTGTATCCAGGAGCCCTTGGAAGTTCGAGGATCTATATCCGTGGAATTACGGGATGTGCGTGGCACCACGAAGTATAAAACCTCTCCGGGTGTCCCCCAACCCACTCACTGATTTTATTCCCCTGTATTATCTGTTCCTGGTTCATATTTACGAATTTCATTTGCGTTTTGCTTTGCTTTGCTTACATCTTATGGTTAATGATTTCCTTTTGTTGTCTCCAATGCTATGTTGGTGTTGGCATTGCCGGCCGCTCTTGATGGATCTGTCTGGCTTGCTACTTATCCAGTATACTTATGACATGAATTTGATGAATAAATTCTACTTGAACTGTCTTTGTGCTTGTTTGCCTGTAATCTTCTGGTTTCTTTGCCCATGTATTGGTATCTATGTGCTGGACTTCCTTTGTTCTTGGATTGTTGCACTTCACTATGCTTTTGTGTATGCGTAACATGTTAGAAAGTTGGTATATAGACTTGCGACTTTGCCAGCTTTCTTTAGGTAGAGATTCTCTTTGCCTTTGCGTTTCGTTGCTGGTGTGTTGGTGTCCGTATCTTCGATTCGAGTATGTCAAATACAGAGAACCTGGGCCATGAAGTGCCCACGTGGAAGGCTCCTTCGATATGGGGTATATGAGCCATAATAAGGTCTTAGGCAGCCGTGCCTTCCCTTCGGTTTCAATGGTGGTTGTCATCATAGTCTCTCGGGCACGTGTCCGCGGTTGTTGACCCTGTCCTCTTCGCTTGTTGTTGCCACACACACGTCTTCCTTTTCTTCTTTTCTCCCAACCATTATCACAACTTTCACCATTTGCTCTGGAAAACATCAGGAAAATGGCGAGAAAAAGTCAAGGTTAGTAGATTCCCTTCATTTTTGAAGCATTCATCGCCTTTTACCTCATGGAGTGTCTCTTTCGGTGGACATGGGCCCCGTGTCTATCGAGCACACCATGGAACTGGGCCTTTTCCCTTTTCATCGGAACCTAGTCTTCCTATGAGCCTGAGCCTGGCTCCCAATAATCAGGTCTCCTCCTCCTCCTTATGGGATTGAGCCTCGCTTCTGGGAATCAGGTCTCTTCTCTGTGGGGTTGAGCCTGGCTCTTGGGAATTGGGTTTCTTCTCTGTGAGATTGAGCCGGTTCTTGAGAATAGGGTGGATTGGGCCATTCTGCCTGCAGAATCGGACATCAGCTTGGCTCCTGGGAATCGGGTACCTTGCTATAGAATCGGCATGATTCTTTTGAATCAGATCTCTTTCTTGAGCTATGGATCGGTTCTTTGAATCATATTCCTTTCTTTGGTATTGCGGTTGATTCCTTGAGGTCAGATGCTTGGCTCTGTACAGGCAAACCCCTCTCTATGGTGGTCCTTTCTATAGAAGCAAGTCCGGTGGGTAAAGGAATCATTCTTTGCTCATAGAATATGCCTCGAAAGAAACGATAGAGAAAGAGACACTCAAAAACATGAGAGATATCTATGACTTTGGTCTCACATGGTCAATTGAAGGCTTTCACTTCCTGTTTATTTCGAAGCAAGAAGGGTTAACATGAGTCACTGACACTTGATTTCCTAACAGACACCGATTCGGAAGGTCCCCGCGGCCGTACTGGCCGCCCTGACACTCCCTCCTCTGCAACTTCGTCTCGTTCTCGTCGCAGCACCCTCTCCCAGATCGTACAATTCGACGAGCCCGACATGTGTAACCCACTGGCATCTCCCCGTTCTGACGTGACTGTCACTGCAGTCCCAGTGTCTGCCCCTGTCAAGTCGACCAATCCTAAGGTTGGTTTGCCTTCTGGCAGTGTCGCAGGCAGCAGTTCGCAGTCCTTGGAACTGCCTGAGCCTTCGCTTAACAAACGTAACGCGTTCGCACAGCAACAAGGAAAATTCCCCTCCCACCTTTCTTCCCACCCTTCTCGTTCTTCTCTCCGTGCTACCACTCTCCGTTCTTCTTCCATCCCCCCTGTCCCTCCTCTTCCAATCTCCATCCTGAAGAATCGACCGGGCAACCTCACCCTGACTGAATTCAAACCTCGCTCTTGTTCTGCTCCCCCATCTCCACCCAAGATGGCTGGAAATCCTGACTTTCCGGATGGCAACAACAAGCCACTCCCCGTGTCTCCTAGATACGACCTTCACACACCCAGCCCTCGCGCACCCATCTTCAGAAGGGATGACATGCACCGTCCCAGTCTTAGTTCCATGGAGCGCACTAGCGGTGTCAGTCTTACCACCGTGCCACGTTCCAACTTGACTCTCAAAGATCTTCCTGAGGCTGTTCGATCTCTTCAGTATCGTTATGAGACAGACATTCAGCGACTGTCAAAGAAGATCGACAACATCAACAAGCTCGAACAGAAAGTCGATGACTTTGTTACCGTGACCCGGGACTACATTAAGGACCAAATGGATGCCCAACTTGAGCGCCAGTCTGACATGTCTTTCGAGGTTACCAAGGCGAAGCTTGACGTGGATGACGTCAAGGAGCAGGTTCACGACCTCAAGGAACAGGTCGCCGAAATCAAGGAGGTGGTTCACGACATGCGCAGCGACATCAACGAGCTGACCTCGTCTTTCGGTAACCTGAGTGCCAAAGTCGACATGTGCCTCGGGGGAACGGACAACCCCGATGAGCAATTCCTGGCCTACCAACGTCGAAAGAACAAAGAGATCGACGAGGATATTGAGGAGATCGGGTCTCAGACTGAAGACCACGGAAAGCAGCTTCTCTACTTGAGACAGATGCTGATCCGCAGCAACACTGCTCTCCGAGTCCTGCAAGATGAGCACGGACTCAAGATGTCTGATGACGTGGAAAGGATTCTTCCACCCAACCCTTTGCCTGCACGGGATACCGTTGCACCCACTGGGACCCTGAGGACTCGTGTGTCCTCTGGGGTTGGAGCAATTTCGCCAGCAACGGCGGCTCCCCCAGTACCAGTCGCGGCGTCCGCGACAATGACTTCGCCAGGATCGAGCTCTGCAAAGAGTTCGATTCCTCGTCGGTCGAAGAAGAGGGGCTCGAAGAAGTCCGCCAGCTCTTCTTCCGCGAAGGAGACCACCGAGGGGGAGGCAGCCCCCTCTGTGCCCACCATTCCTTAGGGAATTCGCATCCCCCGGGATGCTGTCGGTGATGTGCCCGTCCCACTCGCCGACGTTCACACTCTGTCCCGGCCTCAGCCAAATGAGGTCGGGATCTCCACGATCCGGACCGCGGAGCCTTCGGGCCGCGTGTCCCCCAGTTGAGCCTGGCAAGGATGGGGGCTCGCAGGTAAGCTCGCTTGCTTGCGAGCCATGCCAGTGCTCAACATGATGCAAGTACAACCAGAAAAAAAAAAAAAAAAAAAAAACCAAAAAAAAAAAAAAAAAAAAAAAACACAACCAAAAAAAAAAACAAAAAAAGGTTTTTGTGTTTTTTGCGACCAGGGGCCCAGGTTTGGAAGGTTAAAGTTTTGTATTAAAA